TTATTACTTTTTCTTAATTTTGATCATTCATTGGTCTGACTACAAACCTACATTTTCTGAACGTGGAACTTTTTTTCTTTTTGACGAACTTTTAGTTTTAAAGTTGCCACTTTGCACGCAATCCACTTTTAAAAAGAAATGAGTAAAGTGGAGCAGTTGAAGTGAACACATCTTAGGCTTACCGGATCTTTTTGGATAAAAATATATCCGTCGATACATTTTCCCGGAACGAAATTCAATTGAGACGAACAAAAGATTAGGAGCGACGAGTAAACGATTACAAAAGAAACGTGGAATGCAACGTAATTTTAGGTGGTAATCCCTTCTGTCGGGGTCGTGGGCAAGGCAAAAGACTCCGCCTATTTCTGACCAAGCTTTTTCTCTCCCTTTGCCTTGCTCTGGTGCAGCGGCTCTCGTTGCCTGCTCAGTTTTTGACACCCTCTCGCCCCGTTTCTTTTTTCCCCCGTCGACGCCATTTTTTTCTCCCGGGTGACACCACCTCAAAATCTGTCGTCGTTGAATCTGGCTGCAAATTATATTCCTGCCATTCCAACTGGTCTAATTTTTGAAGATCTGATCAAGCAGAAAAGGAGGCTACATCAAAAATTGGCCATCAGTCCTCCTGGCCCAAGCCTTTCCATCAAAATCATCATCAGAACCCGCCTAGTACTTAAATCTTCCCATCAAGTCTAATCCCTACCACATACTGCTCTTCCGAATTCAAGAGCCAACTGGCTTTTCCCCACCAAACTTCTGCCTTTTCTCCCCACTCCAACCAAATATTCTGGCATACTGACTGACACATAAATGAGTCCTTGCTGAAGAATTGGAGAAACGCGGGAAATGCTCGGTAGTGGTGCCTGCTGAAATGCACGCCGGACAAGCTTCCTGGCACAGGTTTGCTGCACGCCTTGGCAAGTATAAGGTACAGTTCTTCGTAATTTTTTTTGCTTCAAAAATTCTTACTTTTCCATGGGTCTTATGCTTTTTGTCCCAGGTATTCAGCTTTTTTCACTATTCAAACGTTAAAATTTACTGTACAGTAACACAATTTCATTTGAAGTTATTCATTCAAAATTCCAACCCAAAACTGTTGGGACCTTGATGCTCCGCGAGCCCATATGCATACGTAGTAGTACGTTGACTTCTAATCAGAGAAAAAAGTTGCTGTCAAAACGACATGACGAAACGTGTCTCTCCTTTTTTTTCGTCCTTTTTCCCGCTGCTTCCGCTCCCTTAGTTCCACTTCATTTCTTGCCAAAAATGTGAATTTTTTCTGAATTCTCCGTATGTTTCGAGGAAAAAATCCGAGAGAAAGTTGGATCTAACACCAAAATCTGGGAAGAAGGGTAACTAAAAGATTGAGTTAGAAGATTATGACAAAATATACAAAGTTGTCATGTGTCTCGTTCCGTCTCCTTCTCTCCATATCTTTCGAAAGTATAGCCAAAAGCTGTTTTGGTTGTGTGTATATGTCTACTTTTTGTTCATAATCCAAAATTTATATGATTTTTTGTCAAGCCGGCGCGGGGACGACGGACACCGGAGAAGGGCTTTCTTTTCTGCTTAGCAGCTCCTGTTGCCACTACCAGTCACCAGGCGTTATTTCTTTGTAGAGGAGAGACTACTGAGCTGTCCCCTCCTGAAAAAAGCCAAGACAAGACAACAAAAATATGAATTATTCGTCCTGAACGACAGACGACACAACAGGCGTGTGCTTGTGCTTCACGGTCATCATTTTCCCGTTATTCTTTCGAAAAAAAAACTTCGATACTAGGCTAGAATTATTCTTGCGGAAAGCCGACTGTGTTGTTGGGATCTGCCATTGTTCTGTTTTTTTTTAGTTCTAGCTTCTCGTCGAAAAAAAAATGAAATGAACGAAAAACAAAAAAAACAAAACTACGCGAAAATTGCTTCTATTTATATTCTGCTGAAAACCCGAACAGATCAGAAAAAGAGGTTAGAACCATTGTCCCCCCTCCCATTCATTCACACAATTCCATGTCAAAACCGAACACGAAAGCATTTCTCTGAACCTATTGTGTCTGAAAATTGTGACAAAAATAAGAGAGGGTAAGAAAAGCCGGAATTGCGAATTCTCAAATTCTGAATTTTGCGGGGCCAACACCACAACGTGTGGAGTGAATCATATTGAATTACACAGAATAGGATGAATTTCTGAGCGTAACGCTGCTTTTAGAATTTTAGAAGATTTTATGAAATAAAAGTATACTATTCTAAATTTTGGAAAGAATTCCAACTCAAAGTTTGGAATGTTTACGTTTATTCGAGTCCGAAAGTCAAGAAGATAATTGGTTTAGCGAGGCTGATCAGGATTCATGTAATTACACCGGCGGGGTGGTTGCATATGCACATATACACACTCCTAGGCTTCTAACTGGACAATTATTGTGACACTTAACCATCAGCAGACCTCTTTTTGAATTCCATCCTACTAACATATTTACTTTAGCTGTGGCTCAGCTCTGTGCAAGATATGCTGTATGTTGTAAATAGAAAAGATAGTGGCTCAGCTGTCCGAATTTTCAAGTTGCATTCGGTTCAATTAAAGTGAGACTAAAAACTGAAAAGTGTTTTTTCGGGATTTGAAGAAGAACACTTGTGAATAAAAGTATACTAAAGTCCACACGGACAGGGATTAAGAGCCGGCAAACAAGATGGCTTCCTAAAAAAAGCTAAAAATTAAGTTCAACTGGTCATTGGAACTTCAAATCATGATTTTGTCTAATAGAGTATTAAAGATAAACATACCGTAAAACATGTGATAGAAGAGCCCCTAACTTTTAACTTTAAGTTGGTTTTTCTCGGTTCCTGTCAAAGATATGAAAAGTTGTCAATTAATAAATTGTTAACCATAATATCACAAACATTTCATCAGTTGACACATTTTTGATATCTTGCATAGGAATTGAGATAATTGAACTCAATCTTGAGAGAGCAGGTGCCCTTCTATTGCAGGTTTCACGGCATGCCTGAATTACGTTGTGCTTTTAAAATAAAAATTTGTGGACTATAAATTCCGGGATGCACAGTATCATCCTGAAATCGGGGTAAACCAGATTTTTCGTTTGAAAAATTCAATTCAGAGTATGAACTACACTTTCGTGCTCAGTCTTTTTTGAGATATTTCAACTTCTCAATACACTGTGTTAAAGTATCGTATTTGAGAAAAATATTATTGTTCTTCTGAAAACATTGATTAGTAACTCCAATTGTAAGCGTGTTTGATCTGTAAATAGAAATATTCCTATTAGATTCAAAACTTCCCTCAAAACATTTTTTGATTTTTCGAAACGAAAAATTTCATGACTCGTTTTAAATTGTATTGTGTTAGTGGCATATACCCTTCAATCAATTCAATTAATGTATAAAAACAAAAAATGGATTTTCGAAAAAATAACATGGAATTGCTAGGTAAAACGGAATAGCTTTACAATTGATTGGAATTACAATTCTAAAATTCATTCAGGCCACACTGGTTTTCCTATATCTGATTTTTATGACTGTCTGCATTTCTTTTTTATCACAATGTAACTTCCAAAATCTGATTACCAATTTTGGACAAATCACGTGACGTTTGTGCTCGTCTAACTAGTTCACAAGCAGGGCGTGAAACAACGAAAAGTCACACGAGAATTTCAATTCTTCTTCTTTTTTTGCCCCGAAACAAGGCCTCCCATCCTTAGGAATAGTGAAACATGTTGGCGGGACTAAACACGAATTACGTATGGGGGTCCCACGAAGTGCTGCGGGTCCCCTCTTTCGTTAGAAGAAGAGCAACCTCTATCTCTTAGAAAAGTGAAGAGAAAGAGCAACATAGTCACATTCAAATTGAATGATAATCATCTTCGTCTTCTTTGTGACGAGAAATAGGGAACCGCGAGAGCTCACAGGAGGCCTTCAACTCACTTTTGCTTCTTGATGTTGCTCCGTTGTTTTACAAAAAATAACATTTGTGTCCCGACTGAATTCAGAATCTATCTTATAAACTTCCTGCATGCACTATTTGTTGTGATGTTCTCAAAGTTCTTGTTCGATACAAGTAAGGTTGAAACTTCGCCTGTCAAAAAAGCTAGAAACTTTTTTTTTGGCAAAAAAATGTCTAAGATTAAAGTTTGCTTCATTTGAAATCCGTCATGCTTTTTTTGGCTTCCGGGTGTTTTTTTTTCTTTTTTCTTCACTGACTTAGCGAATCTCGATGGAAGATTTAGAATTCTGAAAGTTTCAAAAATTCAGAGAAAGTTAGAAATTCTCAAAACGTCACAACTTCTAGGTTGATTTTAGATCTTTCAAAATTTGAGAACATAAAAATAGAGTAGCAATAAAAAATATGAAGATAGTGTTAACAGTATTACAGTTGTCCGAAATCAATATCGAATAGTACGGTAGTTAGCACTTGTGCTATTAAAATAAGTTTAACGATATATCAGCTCTCCACTAAATTTATTTCAGACAAGAGTGATAAAATCATTTATTGAATTTAATCGCATTTCCACCCTTTTTTTTGAATCAGAGAACATTTTAAATTTGAAAGTTTCGAAAAAATATATTGAATCAATAAGCCTTGGCCTTTAAAGCAAACAATATCCTTTTTCTATACAAAAACTAAATCTCCAGTATTACAAGCTATTTCAATTTCCAATTTACAGATTGTACCCTACGATATGAACGAGATCCTTGTGTTTGTGCGTTTCTGTGTGTCATTTACTTCTCTTGTGGTTGCCCATATTCTTTCCTTTCTTACCACTTTCTGAATTTATATTTCTAAAATAGTCACACCTACCAAATCCCAGTGATTCAAACTGTCCTTCGTGCCAAATCTTGCGGGTCGCCGTCTTCGCTTCGTCGATAGTTCGGCTAGCAATAGTGAGACCGTCAGTATCTGTACTACCTCATCCACATCGACAACATGTCCTCCGAAACGGGAAACCGGCGAGTCATTGGATCCAACACAACCATCAACAAGTTCAGACGGATGTATGCTCGGCTCCTCCAGCAATCCTGAACCGCCACTCCTCTCGCGGATAATCGGAGTACCCCCACCGCCTCCGCCTCGAGCCCCGACTACAGCACTTGTACTTCGCGTTCCAACAGTTAACAGTCCTTCGAAAAAGAAGCAACAACCGGATACTAGGAACAAATACCAGGAAACTGCGCTAAGAGACAAAAAGACTGTAAATACTAAAATCGGAATATTTTATGAAATATGTGTGAAACTGGGACTCTAAAAACTGAAGAAAACCAAAATAGTATAGTTTCGTAATCACCAACAAACACTAGCAACCAATAAATACTAATAATCAGGAAGTTCAAATCATCATATGTATTCCAATTCCAATTTTTCAATTTCAAAACTTTAATCCTATTTCATTTCAGCGGACACCACTCGAAAAAGCCAGACACCTTGACAATCTTCCCTCGTATCAGGTGAGTCCCTTTTTTCCTCTCATTTCAATTTACAAAAATAAACGTAGAAGAAAAACAAACTGGTGTTGGTCCTGAAAACTTTTTTCCAATCATTTTCCCCACTCAACCATCCCACACGATGTAGCGGCTTCCGCACAAATAGAGTTTGGAAGGGGAAGAGGGTCCCTTCGGCCATTTTATTTTCCCGATAAGACACTTAATGTTAATACAATTCAATTTCTCTCAGGAGAGGACTCTGGGAGAAAAGAAGGAAAACGAAGAATGAGGAAAAGGACAACATACACATAAACTTTCTTTTATAAGTTTTCAATTTTCCAGAGATAGAGTGAGAGTTTCATCATTATATAAAGTTATTGGTATTCGAGATAGTGGTCCCTTTCTTAGAAATGTCTTATAAGTTTCGTAAGGCGTTCGTGAGCATTTTCTTATAGTATCGTTTTACAGTCTGATTGTAGAATTTTAGTTTTTTTAAATTTTTTGTAGCATTTGATGGATCTCAGCCACAGCATCGGTCAATAAGATGTACAAACACATATTTTTCCGTGTATTTTCAAATAATTTGACCGTTTTTAAAAGTCTGAAGCACGGCTGTTTAGTTGCCGATCATTCTGAAAATTTGGAGGGTGTAAAACAGGCCTAGATTTAAAACTTTGTATGCACATAACTTTTTGAAAATACCTGTTTTTCAGCTTTTTGCCAATTTCTGAAAGTTATTTGTTTTGAAGAACGTTCAGTATGAAGAGCGTTATAAAAGCGGGTTCCTTACCGTCAACAGATAACTGAAATACAAGGAATTTTCAGAATTTTTTGTGAATGCAAAGTTGTCAATCTAAATTTATTTCACACTATGCAAAGTTTTCAAAATGATTGTGAACTAGACAGGCTCCTGAAATTAGTGAAAACGGCTCAAAATCCACTGAAAAAATAACCTTTTGTATATCTTATTGGCCGGTACTGTATGTTAGTTGACTTTAAGAAAATTTAAAGTTTCATTTAGTTACTGTAATTTTTTCAGGCAAAAATGTGTGGCTCAAAAATGATCTACCAAATCTCTAATCTTAAGATTTCAAGTGCACAAAATCTGTTCGATCAAACATAAAACTTTCGTCCCGTATGAATCATCACTTTTTCCCAAAAACGTCCATTATGTCCCTGATAAGCTACTTAGTTAGTCTTCGATTGTTCCATTCTCACTTTTTGCGACTAAAAGAGCATCTGGGGTACATTACATATTTTTCACTTATTTTTTTGACACAAATCCACTAGATCATCATCATGAATGCCCCCGGCGGGTCCCAAAACTTTTTTTGTTGTTTTCACTCCATCAAGTATGCTCCTGCTCCTTCTCCCGAATCTTTGACATGTTCTCATGTACAAGAAGCCAGAACAAGATGAAGAACTTGTGCATTTCTTGAAAGTGTCGATTTAGTCAATGAAAAGTGTTAGGGTCTTTTGCCGTAGGGAAGGATAGGGGGGACGACAAAAAGGGATGGGGGACACACGAAAGTCTATCGCCCCATAATAGTATTTGGATGATCACTTAGATTCTTGTGTCACTGCCCGGAGTAGATAGAGGAGTAGGAAGAAAACGACTTTTTGTGCGAAGAAGAAGGCCTGCTTCTCTTCGGTTTTGTTTCTTCACTTTGTCAACACTTTCCTCGGGAGCCTTGGCGGTCCCTATCAAAATCTGCAACATTTTCCTCTTTCTTGTTTTTGCTCTTCTCGCTTTTTTCTCCCGTTCTGTCTTATCAAAACTTTTATTTCAAGGCTTCTTGAATATGTGATCAAAAAATCGGTATTGTAAGCATCAATGTATCATTCGAAACAAGCCAATACAAAGTATATCAAAAAGGTTTGTCTTTATTTTTTGGTAGGACCCAGTTGGGGGCTAATTTCATTTTCTATGCGCATTTTTCAGTTATTAAGAAACACAATGAATAATAAAATTTGATTAGTTTTTCAGGACCAAAGCCAGCGAATTTTGTTTGTTTAAAAAATTGGTTTTTGTTTTAACCTAGTTAGGTCTCTCATCAAATAACCTTTTTAGGCCCAAAAACTCCTAGACGGTTCGCATCAACTTCGCATCGATTCCCATCACGTTGGAACCGCAGGTCACGGTGCAGGTAAAGCTATTTGATCGCGAAATTAAAAATCTGAAAATTTTCAGGACAAGGGCACGGACACAAGAAAGAGTTCGGACCTGCCATGATTCTCTATTATTTGGCATCAGCATTTCGGGCGCTCTATCCGCGTCTTGATGATGATTTTGTCGACAAACTAAACTATTATTACACAACTACGATATGTGAGTTTTCATAGATTTGTCCTGAGCTAAAAGAAAAATGAAACAGGTCAAGGAATATATGCTAATTCTACTAGCACTAATGCAGTTGCTTATTCATCAAAAATCAAAATCCTTCTTTTTACAGTAGCCTCATTCGCTCTGCTGGTCTCTGCCAAGCAGTATGTCGGTTTTCCCATCCAATGCTGGGTTCCGGCCACATTCACCGATGCAATGGAGCAGTACACTGAGAACTACTGCTGGGTCCAGAACACGTACTGGGTTCCCATGCAGGAGGACATCCCACGTGAGATCTATTCTCGCCGGAACCGACAGATAGGATATTATCAATGGGTGCCATTCATTTTGGCCATCGAGGCGTTGTTGTTCTATGTTCCATGCATTCTCTGGAGAGGATTGCTTTATTGGCACAGTGGTAGGTTTTTAGGACAGACTTGCAAAGTGAAAACTGAGAAAAAACGTTTGACACTTTTGAAAAATCAGATACAGTTCCGGTCAATAAAATATTTTTAAAAAGTATTTTTCAGTTAATTTACGACCATTTTGACAATTTTCACAAGTCGGAAGCTCGGCTGTCAAGTTGTCCGATCCTTTCTGAAAACTTTAAAGAGTGTGAAAATAACCTAGATTGGGAACTGCATTCACATAACTAGTTGAAAATCCCCATTTTTTCAGCTACTTGCCGAATTCTGAAAGATATCCTTTTCGGGTCTGTTTTAGTACTGAAAACGTAAAAAAAACAGCTGTCTTTTATGAATTGGCAAGTAGCTAAAAAACTATAAATTTTCAAAGTTTTCTGTGAACACAAAGTTTAAAAAATGCATGTTTTACGCGCTCCAAAGTTTTCTTAATGGTCGAAAACTTGACAGTCAAGGTCCAGATCCCGAGAAATGGTCAGAATAGCCAAAAATCAATAGGAAAATAAGGATTTGTATATCTTTGGGGTGTAAGTACACAAACCCGTAAAATTATTTTCAGGAATCAATCTCCAAGGACTTGTCCAAATGGCCTGTGACGCTCGTCTCATGGACTCTGAAGTCAAGACACGTACCGTCTACACAATGGCACGTCACATGCAAGACGAGGTTCAGGTTTGGTTGGATGACTATCAAGCGTTGCTCATCTTGTCTCTCTTTCAGCTAACCAACATTGATCGTCAAGGACATAGTAGAAGTTGTTTCTCTAATCTCCAATTAGGTGCAAACTGTGGGAGACACTGTGGTTGCTACGTCACCATGCTGTACATAGGAATCAAGGTTCTTTACTCCGCAAACGTGTTGCTTCAGTTCTTTTTGTTGAATCATCTCCTTGGGTCTAACGACTTGGCTTATGGATTCTCTTTGTTAAAAGACTTGATGCACGAGATCGAGTGGGAGCAGACGGGAATGTTTCCAAGAGTCACTCTTTGCGATTTTGAGGTATCTATAAAGAAAATTGTATCAAAAAGTTTGAGTACAAATCATTTCAGGTACGAGTTCTGGGTAACATACACCGCCATACTGTCCAGTGCGTGTTGATGATCAACATGTTCAATGAGAAAATCTTCTTGTTTCTTTGGTTCTGGTTTTTGACCTGTGGAATTATTACTGTCTGCAACACCATGTACTGGATTCTTATCATGTTCATTCCATCCCAGGTAACCTGCTTTTTATTTTTAGCATTCTATCTGAATTTTTTGAAGGGTATGTCATTCGTCCGTAAGTATCTCCGTGTCCTTCCTGATCATCCAGCAAAGCCAATCGCTGATGACGTTACTCTCCGCAAATTCACCAACAACTTCCTACGGAAAGATGGTAAATAATTCTGCAAATTGCTGATAACTTAAAAGTTGATTACAGGCGTTTTCATGCTCCGAATGATCTCTACCCATGCTGGTGAACTCATGAGCAGTGAGCTTATACTTGCTCTCTGGCAGGATTTCAACAATGTTGATCGGAGTCCGACGCAGTTTTGGGACGCCGAGCACGGACAGGGGACGATAGACTGATCTATTTATAGATTGTATCACTTCTATTGACAAACGAGCTTATCCAAAAATCGATCTATCAAATTTTCTAGTCTGTTTTATTTTTTGTCATTTTTCTTCCTTCCCGAATGCGCTTCTACAAAAAATGCTTCTCCTCTACCGGTGCGTTGTCATCAAAAAACTCTGTCGCATAATTTTAACTGTCATACTTTCTCCCACTTCCATTTCACCTCATAACTTCTTCCTGTTCTTTCAGCTCTTTTCTTTTCATCATCCCAATGTCATATAGAGACGTTTTCCAATTAAAAAAAACATCTAACATCCTGAAAAATTAAATTCACGACAATTTTAGTACTATCACCTTTCCACCATTATTAAACATTGTTGTGTTATTACACGTGTCTTTTGTTGTGACTCTTTTTCAAACACTAATCCCATCCCAAAACCCATTTTGACTTTCCCCTACGAACTCAATTGATCTGGATGATTATTTGCATAATCATCAACACAATATTGCCAAAAACATCTGTTTTTCTAGTCCGTTCCCCATCTCAACCTGTTCAAGACTGTCCTATGAACCATTTCTTATTTTTTTACGCTTTGCATTTTCGCAATATGATAATTCCTGATTAATTCATTTGCATTTCTCAATTTTTTCATTCTTTCTCTTTCTCTCTTTCTCTCACTTCTTTCTTCATGTTTTTTTTTCAAAATTCTTCTTCTTCCCAATTTCTAGTTGAACAAGATAATCTTCTCGGTTTCATTCCCCTCATCTGATTAATGTCTTTTGTTGACAATGAAAGCGCATCAAATAATACATCCTCAGGTTTTTTCAGCGGACAATAATCTGGTGATTATGATAATTATCGTAAATCAACCGATGAAATGATGATAATTGGGCGTTGATTAGTCTGGGATGATGTGTTTTGATTTGCTTTTTGTGGATCTTCAAATGTTCTTGAATTTAATAAAAATTTTATAATAAATTAGTTTTTACAAAACAGAAGTAGAAAAGAAACTAGTTTTCGTTCAGCAAAAATTAAAAAGTGAATACTGTATGACAGTTTAGAAAAACCTAAAGCTAGACAAACCAGTAACACCTTTTCAGGATAATTTTTCTTTAGATCAAAAATACTCAAGAAAAATAATTTTCCAGGAAAACTAATTTCGTCTGAAAAAGGCTTTAAAATCATTGTCAATACTTCTAAGAGTCAGATCCAAAAATTTAAAATTAAAGAACTTTACTTTTCTAAATAAAAATCGCAATCGTTCGAATTTTCAGGTTTTCCAACATTTTTCGTTATGGGACAACACACGAAAAATTTGATTTTAAAGAAGGAAGGGTAGAATATTATCCAGCTTTTGAGGTGTGCATTTTGACGTGATGGTGTACAGTTATTGGTGTTCAAACAACCTTCGTCTACCGTAGCTACCGTAGCTCAGAGGATTGGATGATTGCTACTCGGCACATCCAACTGTAGCAAGCAGCACAAGTACAACTCCACTGGATGCTCATATTCTACAAATTTTCTAGAAAGTTTTTTTCCGTGTCCTCCCACCTTTAAAATTAACCAGGATTGGATCAAGCTACTCGATTTTTGCTCCGTGACGTAGATGACTTCTCTACGTTACAAACATACTTGCAAAAATCGTTGAAGGCCCGGACAAGAATATTTTTGGTTGAAATTTCTCGAAAAAACATTTTTTTGATCATTTTTTGAGAATTAAAAAAAAACTAGTTTTCGAAAGAAAACTGTTATTTTGCTTCAAAAATGCAATTTTTTTTTCATTATCAACTTTGGAAAAGTTCAGGAAAAAAAATAATTTTTCAAAAATTTGTTTAAACATTCACAAATTCAATATTTATAATTTAGCTTGAAATTAGATAATAAAAACAACTTTTTCCCAAAAAAAAACACACTTTTTTGCCCAAAAATCGAAGCTGGCGCCAACTGGCCGGGTCTTCCGGGCCTTGACCAATTTTTTGAAGGCCCGGCCCGTTGCAAGTATGGTTAAAACCAACTCATTTGATGACAGTATTATTGGTTTCAATGATATTTGGTTACATCAACTGCCGCAAGAATAAGCACGAACGATTTTCACGCTTGACGTCTTCAAATCATCTGTGATCAGCTCAGCATTTGAAGATTATTTACTCAAACCCATCCACAGCAACATCCCCTGAAATTTTCTCCCGTTCCACGCATTTTGCCTCAGGTTATGTACCGATTGGTGAAAGTTTCGTTGGCTATCTTGTGACCAAAACCAAGAAGAATTCCAATTCCGTCTCTCATTTCGAAAAAAACTCAATTTCTGAAAAGTACATTAAGTTCAGGTCTTTGATGCGTTCTTCTAGTAGTGACACGGAAAAACAAGGAAGACAAGTGTTATAGACAGATTCTGATTACTGAAATGCCAAGGTTTAAGAATAACAATTATCTTTTGTTTTGTTTAAAACGTCACATCGTTTTATACGCAGTGTAAGACAATTTCAGAGAATTGGAAACTTTTGGAAATAATAATAATAATAATACGTGAGCAACATTACTGAGCAACGCCATCTGATGGTCATATATAGACTATATATCTATATTTGCCTCTTTCTCTTCGTCTCCGCAAAACATAATTGACTTCATTTTTCCTCGCCTCATAATTGGTACTGGTAAAATGAGCTCTCAGGTCAGTACCAGACAAATGCCCCTCCTATTGACCGCAACAGTAATTAGAGGTGACTAACGATGTCTCATTTTCTTTGAAAAACCAATTTCAACACATATCTATTTATTCAAAAATTACGAATTTCTGTTCCATCAACATCTTTTTTTTCAAATTTTCATATAAATTGTTTCGTTCTCAAGACGTTGTCTTGGGACTGCGGCTAGGCTTAAAAATTAGCCTCAATTTTGCTGAAGACTCAAAGAAATGACGAGACAAATTTTGGTGCCTCAATAAAAAACACCCAGGGGCAAAAATATTTGCCGAAAAGCAACAACCGGTGGTGGCAAAACATTCAAACTTGGAATTTTTTCATCCATGATTTAAGATCAAAAAAGGATTTAGAGTGACCATTTGGGTGCTTCAGATTCCAAAATAGATCAAAATTTTACTTTTTTTCGCTTCTAACGCTTTCCATGTTTTGAACTTTTTCAAAGTTGAATCATTCTTTGTATTTCGCTTCTTTTGCTCCCAAATTTTTTTCTCTACCAGTAGTCATCACGACACATTGTTTCGTCATTTCCTTTGTGCACTTCCGCCGCAGTCTTCAGACTTGACATCCTCTTTTTTCAAGACGATTTCCCTTCTGCAGAAGATTTGTTTCTCAAAAACACTGATTTGAAAGACTTATCTTCTTGGAAAGTCACATTTTTCTTCCTCAATCTTGTTCGTTTTTTTGGCGTTTTTTCGGAAGATGCATTGTTAAGATTTTTGGAGACATTTTTCGGGACATCTTTTTTTTTGTCGAACTGTGTCTCGTGGGAGTTGGAGCCTTGTTTTTTTTTCAAACCATCTGTTGGAAAATTTGTTCCCGTTTTTTTCTCAGAGTCATGAATTATGAGAAATCACTTGACAAGTAACTGATTTACGAGTTTAATGATGTTCTTAGTTTTATTGTATTTGGGAAATAATTTGGAAGTTGGGGATACAAAATCCACAACGCTGCGGCGCAATGTACCTGAAAAATAAACAAATTCTACTTCGTTATCTCTGAATTGTGGATTTTGTACCCCGTTGTACCTCAAATTATGTCCCAACTTTTTCCTGATATTTCAAATTATTTGAAAACCTCTTCACTCTATAATTCTCGAAGACTTTTTGTATTTTCATTCCCAATGTATGATATCATAACCTTCTAAACTCCACTTGCCTCAAATAACTTATTTATACAATATCAATTTATTCATAACCTTTATATTTTTGTGTTTTTTCCTGAATTGAAGTTCATGCTAACCTAGTCTGATTATTTTTCTTCCTTGTTTTTTGTTCTTTTCTTTATTCCGGTCTAGTCTCTATTCTTAAGAAGCTTAAAAAACCGAACGAGACTTAATTGCGACACTTTTAAAAAATAAAATAAAAGGAAGTGAAGAATAAATACTTGGGAATTCCTTTCTGGCGATTTCTCCATTTCTTTCAAATGTTCATTTTTTCATTTTTCAGCCTGTTATGCACTATGGTTTGATCGTGTTATGGATTTCAACTGTCTCGCAATGTTCATTCTTCCAATTCTCACATTATATGCCCCCATTTAATGAAAGTTATCGAATCTATCGGTTATGTACGGATCAAAATGATAAAATCTTTCTGGGCAATATTCAAAACAGTGATGTGAGTGTGGCAGGGAAAAATATCTTAAATTTTAGAATTTCAGCTGAGTTTCTACCTTGAAAAATACATTCTTTGTTGGCCCGACTACGAGCGATTTGTCCCTACAAAACACCACGCTATTGTCTGGTTTCTCAGAGCTTTACGGTAATTTTCGATATTAAGATTTGATTTTCATTTTTAATAACTTCAGGGGTTGCGAAGTGAATCAAATTCTAAGTCATCACAGTAGACCAAAAGCGGAATTCGCTCGAACATTCCATTATGATTTTCTCAAATACTCATATGCTTTGATATGCGAAAAAGGAGCGATGCTACCCCAATCTGATCATGCTTATCTTTATGCATACTCTGGATTATTTAATACCCTTTATCAAGTTGGGAATGCTGATAGACAGTAAGTCAGAAATGGTTTTTCACTGGTAATATTGTTTTTTAGATTGATTTGCGACCAAATTAGTCGGGTATACGCAGATCTTTACGGTCGTTGTTATGTACCTCATGTGGAAAAACGACAAAAGAAGATTGAGGAGCGGTGTAATGGAGTTTCAGCTCCCTTGCTGAAATTTCCAGATTTCTTCCTGCGTTTTTCTAGAAGTAATTTTCCATTGAATATCCTATCCTAAAAAATTAACTTTTCAGAGTGCAACACTTTCAAAGACTTCATCACAAATGAGAAAACCGAACATATCACTACAATGGGGATAGCACTAACTACAGATGTCACATACATGAATCTGCTAAGCTCAAATCTTTTCTCTAACATCCATAGTGATTCAGAATTGCCATCTTTGGTTCTAAAGGTTTGGATTTTTTTTCGCTAATTCATTCAAACAATTTTAGACTCGCCTTCTTTTGCAACACTTCTCATTAGCCGCAATCAAGCTTTGGAATCAACTTGAAGCTGTCCGAGCGTTAGTGTTTTTATATCAGTTTATATTCCTGGTCGGGAGAAATGATGTAATTGCTTTCAGATGTCGTTATGAAACGAAATCAAACTACTCGGAGACATATTCCAATGAAACGGATGAAGAGAGAATGGCCAAGTTGGGCAGTTTGATCACCCACAATTGTTGTCCATCGAGCAATATTCATATCTGTGATATAAACAATGAAAGGAAGTATCAGTAAGATAAACTTAAAGAATTTCCTGTTTTCAACCTATTTTAGGCGTTTGGCAAAAAATGCCAGTCTAGGATTTCGAATCGAAGCTGGACTTCTGATTGCTATTTGTTTCAACACGTTCTTATTGTGTTTTCTTCTGTGTAAAACGTACAACAAACTCTCTACTGCAACAATCCTCTTTGTACTGAACATCATGGGCTCCAATATTGCGTTCATGTTATCATTCACCTACTTTTTTGTGGATCTGTTGTACCAAGACAAGTACGGGCCGATCAATGAAGATGTAAGTTTTTTTTGAGTGAAGTGAGACTTGTAATACAAAACAAATGGACCCCACAATGTCAAGTTTGAGCTCAATTATCTCAATTCCTATGCAAGATATAAATAATTGGTCAACTGACGAAACATTTCTGATATCATGATAAACAATTGACCAGTTGACCACATTTTTACATCTATGACAGAAACCGAGAAAAACTGACTGAAAATTAAAAGTTGGAGGTCCCTTCTATAAAAGGTTTTGGTGTACTCAAAATCAAGTTTAATATATTTTTCAGTACATGGAAAAGTCACCAGAGCTTGTTATTGCTGAAACATTACAAACCCATCTTTTTGCTCACAGTGAATTCAAGAAACATCTGGTTCAAGAAACCCTATACTCTCTTGCCCAAAATGGTTCACTCACTGGACTCATCCATCTGTTGGTTTTGGTGCTGGTGAGTAAAACTACAAACTGCAATTTTTCAGTATTCATTTTTCAGGTGGTAATCAACAGATCAATGTCTGGAAAATCGATTCATCTTTCGAAAATTTCTGTGGTCTCAGTTTTCGCATGTGTCTGGATTTTTTTGATTGCGTCACATGTGATGTTCTCCATTATGCAGGTAAAGTATTTTCTCGAATTTCATTTTTAATTGGGCCAGTATCCAAGGGTACATCAAATAAGGTACACATGGTTCTTAAGGTACATTAGTCGCCCTACGCCCTAAGATGCCATGTACCCTCTGAAAAAATGTACCTTAAGATCTTAATGTACCCTTTTTCAATGTACCCGTGGATCGTGGGCCTTTTTAATCAAATTTTAAATTTTTTAGATGAATGCAATCAACAACTTGGATGCATTATTTTCGAATTTGTCTAAAGGAAGAGTTAATTTGTCATGTAATGCGTAAGTACCTAGAAGTAATTTCTCGAAAAATACAACCATTTGAAGCACCACTCTTTCGGAATCCGGATACGAGGAAATCGCGACACATTGTGACAGAACAGCAATTTTCCATGCATTTGGAGCCTATTTGTTGAGAGTAAGTAAAGCCAGAAGCTTCATAAGCACTCCAACGATGTTCAGGGTCACACATTATTCACAATACTGTTTCTATCGGCATCCATAATAATTTTTGTGATCACTGTCACCTACCATATCAAAGTTCGCAGGCAACACGATATCATCCATAGCGAGTTAAGGTAAAATGATATTAATAAGAGTTCCTAAAACACCAAGCTTTTTTTCAGAACTCAATCTCCTCACCAACGTCGAGAACGTCTGTTCCATACACTCATCCTATCCATAGTCACCTTCTTCTTGAGTGTAATGGGCCAGACGTATATAGAAATTGCAGTTTTCTGGGTGAACGAACGGGAAGATATTGCACAGTTGTCTCGATGGTAATATTAAAAATAGAATTTCTTACCTCATTCCGTTTTTCTAGGTATCATTATGTCAGGATTCTTGCGTTCATAGATCCCGTGATGAATCCTCTTATAGTCATCCTTCGAACTCCTGCGCTCCGACGTCAACTTCGTTCGCAATGGACGACGATACGCTCACGTGCCTCTTCACGAACGCGTTCAGCTCACAGTCATCGCGAGAATCGGGAGAACACAAGTGTCAAGTATGTTGAGAATTATGAAAACATTATTGAACATGGTTTTTTTGATCCTTCAGACGAAAACGTTCAAGTAGTGCACGGATGAGAAAAGACGCGGAATTGATGATGTCGTTGATGCCTACAGATCGGCCGGTTAGTTATTTTTGGATTATTCTTCTTCTCATTTTTCATAATGTGTAGAAGGTGTTTAAAAAATAGGTGTGCTAACGAGATTTAAAAGATTGGAGATCCGAAAAAATAAGCGTCAAAATCGCTTGATCCTAATCAAATCGAGAGGGATGGCAGGCATATGTAGTTTTTGAATCGTTATCTCGAGATTTAATGAGTAGATTGGTTTGGAACACATGTGGATAGTCAAAAATCACTAATTCGTTTAGACAGGAATTTTTATAAAAAGATATACAAACATAGATAATGTGAGAGAAATCGAAAAAGTGTTCAAAAGACTTTAAAAGACTTTTTGCAGCTGAAAAAAGTTGGAGAAGCAGTTTGGCTTGATATTGGATATTGATAAGACAAAGAAATAGAAAACTTTGTTTACAATTTGAAAGTAAAAAATTTCTGTCAAATGGCATCGTAAATGTTCTAGTCGAAAACCGCATTTGAACTTTATCATTTACCTCAATTCCTATAGGAAATATCAACATACCGTAAATCGATAAAATGTTTGCAGTAACATTTTTTTGCAGTTCACAGATTTTTGAAATCTCTTCCAGAAATTCAAATAAGTGACATTGAAGTTTAAGGAATTGGTTGTAAAAAAGACCAATTGCCGTACACACATTTTGAGCTCCGGATCCTTTAAGAGATATCAAAAATTTGTCAAGTAATAAAATATTTGCTACAAAATTGCCGACATCTTCACAGTTTACAAATTTTGATATATCTTACATGAATGGAGAAAATTGATCTTGAAGTAGGAGTTGAAGATGGCGTTCTATCAGGGGATTTACGGCAATATGTAGAGGAACATTTGGCACACTTTTTTTCACTAAAAATTATTAATAATACAAAAAAACGTCATAACAAAATTTTCAGTCGACTCATCCACACCTAACTCGATCGTGTTCACTACGAAGAAGCCAAGACTCACAGACGCACAATTCCGTTGTTTGATGACCAATCGAATCGAAACGACGACGTCTATGATTAGGGGCTATTAGAAATTTGTGACTTTCTAAATGTCCTTTTTTTCCTTCCTCCCGAGTGTTGTTTTATTTGAAAGTTTTAATTGCCGCTCGAAAATACATGAAAATCACTACTTTTCCTTCCTCCCCTATTCTCTCTTTCACTCTTTTCTCACAAGTGTTATCCAGAAAACCATTAACTTTCATTCTCGTCGGAAATGCGGGCCGATTTACAACATTGACATCTCATTACTTCATGCTTCTTGATCTGTTTGTTTTGTTTTCTCGCGAATGTTTCCTCTGAAATGTATAATCTTAAATCAAACTGTAGACCGTATAAACATATCGATATTCCAATTTTCACTTTAATATTTCCCGAAGTCGGAAATATGCTTTTTTTTCTCGTTATGGATTGCATTCAAGTTTTAGATATTTGAGCCCATGACTTCTGAAAAACATAAAAAAATATAAAGTGAAATGTTTATTTTTTTAACAAAAAATTAGATTGAAATGTGTTTCTGAGAGATGATGAGGCATATAGGAAGCTTTGTTTCCAGATATACCGTAATATAGAAAGCTAAGCATACTTTTCAAAGGCCAAACTTATTTTTTTAAGAGCATATCTCATTTTTTAAGAACCAAGCTTACTTTTTATGAGCCACATACTTCCTTTCTGTGAATCAATCTTTTTTTGATAACTTTCAATGGCTGATATTACTTCAAACTGATTTGAGCTCCACAAAAACTAAAAATAATCTAACGAAAATTTTAAAACTCAGAAAACTTTTTTTCCTAAAAGTTGAAACAATACAAAAATCTTGAAACGTCCTTCAACCTTTTATCCCGGTTTCTTTGAAACATCATCAATTCTCGACAAATTGTTGGAACATATTTTGTTGCTGCTTATCATTATCACACTATATCTTGTCTAGTAACTTTTGTTTTCATTCCGGGGTGTGCCGCTATCCATAACTTTTTCTTCTTATTCTTATCACTTGATCATTCCATTTTTTCGCTGATCAGATATCAATAATTGTTCCACTTTATCGTTTCACAATCATCTGTTCAACGCATGCATTTTTCTGGGATGATGTGTCCCAGTTTTTCATTAAACGAATTACTGTTGATCCCCCCTAATTTTTCCATTCCATTCCCTTAGCCTGTCCAGTTTCCCACGCGATTTCTTCCTGAATAGCCATCCCGGGCTACACACCTGTTTCACAAGCTTAGCCACTTTCTCAAAATGGCACGTAAGAAAAGAATGGGTGGGCGAATAAGTAACAATTTGGCTTGTAAAAGGGTGTGATTTGCAATTGAAGGTGAAGTGTCACCCATCCTGACAAATGCGGGTCAATTCTGTCAAATCGGGGACAAGAACAGAAAGGCCGACCAGAAGTAAGAAGGGGAGGGGATTGGAGCGGAGTGGGGGGGGGGGGGAGAGAAACGTTGTGAAAGACCGGCCAAAAGTCGCCAGGGCGCTTCTTGCGCAGACAAAAAGACACGAAAAGCCCCGCCCTTAGCCTGTCAACTTATCCTTATCTCAATCCGGACTTTTCTTGCCTTTTCTTTTCCCTCTCTTCTTCCTTGTTTTCTACGCCGGCTTCTCTTCCTCAAAAGCGTCTGCCTTCCATTTCTGACCGTCAGAGTGTGTCCCGCCCTTCTCTCGATTTTTCTACAGTCCGTTTCGGATTTTGGCTATTCAACTCCCTCCTATTTGCCTTTCATCATACCTTCATTCTTTATCCTAATTCAGCTGTTTCTATTTTTATAGGCGCTGCCATCCTCACACAATGCGGTTCACAGCCATCATACTGTTATTAGTGCACGGTGAGTTTTCAAAATAAATTATAAATCCCTAATTATCTTCTTGTGTTCGACTTTGGGTTGGTTATTGCCCTATTATTTAAGCACCCAACATTTGAAAGCCGAATTTAAAAATCATTTTTCGTTTTTAATTGTAATCTAATATTTTTTGAACATCTTCGGATACTTTCAAAAATACTTGAAACGTCTTAAAGCATCTGATTATCCTTAAATAGATAATTAATCGAAAATAGTCCTTAAGATGTGTTTTTCTGAAATTCCTAAAAAAATTTAATGTTAATGCTTAAATAAAATTTGAAGCGTTTTAGTTCTAGCTCTTGATAGACAGACATTCATTGATTATGATGAACATGCCTCGAATTTTCGAATTTAAAATTTTGAAGCTTCGACCAGTTATAAAGTTTGGTCGAAATTTCCAAACTTTAACTTTTGTCTTAAAACACTATTTCCAGCTCATTCAAAATATTTTCCTACCTTAATGTGAAAAGTATCTATTCAAATTTCGACCTCACTTATCCCACCATTTTCGCCTAGTTTCTTTTCATTGGCACAGCTGGAAGTCCCTAAATCCAAAAGCCACAGAAGATCGTAAATTGTTGAAATCCGCGTTGAAAAAAGATTTGAATTTTCGGAAAGCCGCCGTGAATATCAATTTCCTGGATCTGGAGAAACGATTTTTTTTTGTTTCTCTTTTCTTTGATTTTTCACTTTTCAATTCGTTTTTCGTACAAAAACATTTTGATGAGATTAGAATCTCCGAAAAAAGGTTTCAACTTTCTCGAAAAACGAAAACAATAGAAAATAGCTTTTCTTTAATGGCGTTTCATTTTTATTAGTAACGGTGTTATTTGATTCCGGTTCGTTGAAATAACACGCAATTAAAACTGTTAAATTCAGTTTCATTTTCTTCTCCAGCGAAAAACCCGGTCCGTAAACTTTCACCGACTCTTCTTCTCGCATATCCGTTCCCATAAAATTTGATTTCGGTTGTTTCCACTTCGCTTCGAAAAGAAAAGGGCAATTTACAACACCCCCTAAACGCGATCGGCATAGTAAAATGTAGAATTCATAAAATTTTCATTGCAAAAAGTGTAGATCGTTAGAAAGTCTTTTCGGGAGACACCCACCCAGTTTAAAAAAAAGCCAAAATGCCGTGACGAGAACGGGAGGAGACAAAAAAGGCTTGAGATGTAGTAGTACGCACTTTGCCGGCTATTAAAGAAATATTGTCTGTCCATCTCACACACGTACCCCCGACAACCAAAACCGGTCGAGAATGCCGAAAAACCTGAAACCCGATGGATGACTCTTCGGGATTGACAAAAATGAAGAAAAGAAGGTTTTTTTCTTGCAGGAACACTAGCATGCTTCCCAACCTCGCAACGATCCTACCAGTATGGCGCGCCAACACAACAATTTGCTTCGGTAAGTCGTTAAAATGGAGAATGGAGAAATGTATACATAATTGGAATGGAGATTTATATTTTGGTGGTGCATGATGCATTGAACATTGAAGTCCTATTTTTCTTGTCAGTCGGTGATGATTTTTGTGACGTGTCCCTCTGTGTGGGTGCTCGCTTTTGTATGCCTTTCCCCTTTTGTGATTTCACAATGTACCCCAACCCGCGAAACCACTTTTTTGGAACAGGCTTCTTTCATTTGCTATTGGCATTTGGTCCTTCAGTCAGGTGGTTTTCTTTCATGGAGTCTCAGTCTCTATAGAAGTGATCTGGATACTGTATAAGCCCCGAAACTTTTCTGCATGTGTGTTTCATGTTTTGTAACCGTTGTTTTTTTTGTACAGTGCACACCACAATGCTGCGGTTGTTCTCAGGCTCAACAAGTTCCTGCCCAGCCGGTGGCTGCCGCGGCGGCACGTGTTGCGGCTGCTGGAAAGACGCCAACTCAACCAATCAGTGTGCAAGGATCATCTGCTGAAGGTTTGTGAACATATTCTAGGGAAAATGAAAAAGGGAACATATTGGGAAGTTTCTAGGAAATCTGATTAGCTGAAACTTGTTCCTTTTTGAAAAATCAGGCGTTCATAATATTGTTTCATACCTAAAATAATTGTGAGCATAATTTTCTGATAATAGTCAAAAACTATATTGAAATCGGAAGAATTGTTTCAATCTGACCAAAAGGTTTTTTTTTCAAAAAAAAAAAGTAATTCCGACCTTAGTAGGCTGCAGCTATCACATTTGCCTCTAAATTGCTTGTTTTATCTCTTCCGTTCCTCGTAAATTTCAATCTCCCGTTTTCCTCAAAACCATCCCATGAATTTATCCCATATAATCTTGTCATCAAACACACACCTGCACATCCTTTCGTTGACCTGCCGGAGGAGAGAACCCATTAATGTTTCAATTCTCGATTTCATTTTCATGTTTATAGTCAAGAAAAAGTAAACTTTCGACCTCCGAACACATAGATTCATTTTTCGGAACGAAGCGAAAAGCGATGTTCAACGTTTTCTTTTTTTTCCTGTCGAAAGTAGTGAAAGCTATCATGGTTGTGTTGAAAGGAACTAGTGTGAGAAAAACTCCGAGATAGAAACCAAACGAGATGGATATTGTCCGAAAAGAAATTTTAGAAATGGAGAGGGGGGATTTTAAAAAAGAATAGAAAGATGAGAAATGATAGAGGAAGGTGCCTGAAAGTCGAAATAGTGAAGAAGTGAAAACTGTTGTTTGGGGTGTTGATCGGGTCGGGACTGTATGTATAGAGACATACGGTTGATTGCACTATAATGGATTTTTTCCAGGTCTTCTCGGACAGAAGGTATCGCTTACCGAATTCACGGCAGACGGATACAACGCTGAAGGCGGTGGCCCTGTTCGATCAGGTTTGTCGTTTTTTTTTCGAAAAAAATGGGGAAAGGAAAAATGAGATTTCTCTTTTTCTCGGTCCGTTCTGGTTTCCTTATCAGTGACAGTGTTTGGTGTTAGTCATCATCATGAACCGCTGGCGGTGAAACATCGTGGATTTCACTTCTTTGCCGCCATGACAAGAAAATACATTCACTCGGTTTTTTTTGTTGCTTCGTCGCTATACTGTTGGCTAGTTTTCTGTTCCGCTGATCAACATTCAGCGGGTTGATATATACAAGCGGAATGAGACAGATTGATGTCCCACTGACCTAGGAAACGAGAAAAAGGACATTTTCCTAGGAATGGAATGCGGAGGCGAAAAAGAAACTAATCATGTTTCAGGAAACGCTCTGACATGCAACTTTGATGGACGACCATGTTGTTGGGCCAACGTTCCACCACCAGATGATCAACTCGACTGGCAAATTGCGAATGGAGTGCCAATTCAACTTCAGAACCGAGGAGTACCAACGCCAGGTTAGAAATTCTAAGAAATCCTAAGCTGGGAAAAAGTGGATGTGAAAATATACAGATTACTGTAAACACTCTGATAGAAGGCCAACTTATAATTGCTATTTGAGCTCAATTATCTCAATCTCTATTGGAGATAACAAAAATATGTTAACCGATAAAATTTTTGCCTAAATATCACCAACAATTTATCACTTTTCACATACCGTAAAACCTCTAATAGAACGACACCCGGATCGTCCACTTTGAGCCTATATATCTCACTTCTTTTGAAAGATATCAAAAAGTGGTTAACTAGTAAAATGTTTATCAGGATATCAGCAACATTTTACTAGTGAGCCACTTTTTGATATCTTTCACAGAAAATGAGATATATAGGCTCAAAGTGGACGATCCGGGTGTCGTTCTATTAGAGGTTTTACGGTAGTTGATATTTCTCCAAGCAATCGAGATAATTGAGCTCAAACACGAGTATAGGATGGCTTTCTTTTAGTGTTCACCGTAACAGTGTGAAAAATAGATTATGGCTCTAAATCAAACCAAAAATATAGTCTCATAAAATAAACATGGCAAATATTTCTTTACTTGTAAGCTTAAATCCTGAACAAAGTTTAAAAACCCAAAAAAAAAACCAAAACAAGTAATTTTATGAATACGATCAGATCTTAAAACCCAAGTCTGTCTGAAATATTTTATGCAATCAAGCTAAGCAGTCTTCAAACCTAGTTCTGCAACTGTTAGATTTTTACAGTCACTTGTAGCTATGATGGAACTTCACTAAGATCGAATTTTTTCAATGGCTACCTAGTGTCCACTTTTAAAACCCCTACTTAGCGGTCTAATAGTTCTTTGTCCCCCTATTCAATCCTTAGACGTCTCATCTCCATATAACCGCAACCGCAACATCATCATGTTGTAAAAGGTTTATGGTAGACATAAAAGACGGTCACACCACATAACAATTTTCCAGAAGGAAGTTACTTGATTGCCTACGCTAAGGCCGCCGCCCCATCCGATGAAGCGCAATTCGCTTCATGCTCAATTGGCTGTGCTTCAAGTGACATCGTCGTCCGCGCCAAGCACTGGCAATCCGAAAGTGTCCTGTTGCAAGTGTGTCTCCGCGAATCATTCCCAACAAATGCGGAACGTAATCCGCTGATCAACTGCCAGGAATTCCCTTACGTCGACGGAATGGGCACTACGGAGGTCATTCTTCCAAAGACGTCGCTTGTTGATGTGAGTGGAAACGACATGCATAACAGAAAATTGCGGGATTTTGCTATATTTCGAAAATTTGACTTTTCAGATCGTTTTCGTTGCTTCCAACTTCATCGGCGACCAAGGAGACGTTGCTATTCTGGACGATATCGAAGTCTCATACGATAGAAATGGAGCAGAATGTCAGAACGAGTTTGAGGAAGGAGCTGAGGAGGAAGATAAGCAAGATTCCGAGAATGCGATCAAAGCTGAAGAAATTGAAGCTGCCGCCAAGAACAAGAGAAGAGAATTGTTCGAGAAGACTCAACCAGAAGGAAAGATAGTCTCAGCTACTGAAAGATTCGGTTCCAAGGGATTCCGTGGAGGAGAGAAGGCATTCAGAGGAGGAGCTGGCGCTGGAGCCGGAGCTGGAGCAGGATCCGCAGCTGGATCGAAATTCGGAGGATCTTTCGAAGGAGGAGAGAATGGAAATGCTGCTGTTGGAACCTCCCATACCGAAGAAACTGTATTTGCTAGTGTGAAGACGTGAGTTTCCTGAATTCCCCAAGAATCAATTACTATAAATTGTTACAGTGCCAAACTTCCATCCGGTCACGTCGTCGCTAAGGGAGCCAAGACCGCCGAGTTCTCTGAAGCCGTCTGCAACGCTACCAAGTGTGACTTCGAGGGTGAGAACACTTGCGGATACAAGGATGCCCATACCACACAGTCGATTCGTGGACTCACCACGAAGTTCAACGTGGTCACTGGCCAATTCATGAACAGAGTCACCGGAATCAAGGAGAGCACAGAAGGAGAGTTCTACGCCGCCACTTTCCTCTTCCCAAGAGAAATGGCTGGACTTGAAGCCACCGTTGAGCCATTCACTGAGCAATCCAGAATCAGATTCCACTACTATGAAGGAACCCATGGAGTTCAGCTCAAGGGATGCTGCGGCACTATCGAGAGCTGTCCATTCAGTTCTGATAAGTTTGTAACAGTTGCTGATCGTGCATGGAAGACCGCTTCTTTCAAGTGTCCAAAGGGAACTGATAAGGTTTGTTTGCAAAGCGTTTTTGAAATGTAAACAAATGAAAATATTCTGAATTTCAGGTGATTTTCATCTGTGAAAACACAAGAACCAACCAAGGAGCATGTGCCGTTGACGGTATCGGACTTGTGGAAAACGACACGCCACTGAAGACAGCCAAGCCGCTTTGCTAATTTTATAGAAATTATTCTATCTCCTCCAATACCCATTTTTTCTTTCCAATCCACCCGGGAACCAACCATGCCATATCAATTTCTCATCCCCCCAATTGCAATTCCACCACTTGTATCGAGACTCATAATTAATATTTATTTTTTAGAAAAAGGAAACAATTTAATATAATTTCACATATGGAAAATTACTAATAATACATATATGGCCTCAAATGCGATAAGACTTTTTGCTTTCCTAGAACACTTTTGTTGCTCACTCTCCTTGTTTTTATAAATAATGAATGAATGATTGTTTGTATTTGTTTTAGTTAAAATTTTTCGAAATTCAAAAATAAACACTACGGTAGATTTGTAAACAAGTATTCCGTACCATAATTCAAGTTTTACGTACAAAATTGGGTCAAAAAAGGGTGTCTTTCAGTAATCAAGAAATAACTGTGAAACTAGGAATTTTCGAATACTCTGTGGATGCAAAGTTGTCCATCTAGATGTGTTTTACATCCACCAAAGTTTCCAAAGTGACCGAAAACTTGACATCCGAGCTCCAAACTTCTGAAAATGGCTAAAATCAACTGAAAAATAGGTTTTTGCATATCTTGAAACGAAGTTTGTTTATTTTATTGAATGGTACTGTATATATGCCAATAGATAAAAAAAATCATAGTTGCGAAATTTCGGCCCGGCCCGCGGGTCAGCCCGTCAATAATTTTGGCGCGCCGGGGTCTGTACAGGCGCCGATTTTTTATATATTTTTCATACTTGCAACGGGCCGGGCCGGGCTGGGTCGGGTCAAAACGACAATTTTCCCGGCCCGTCACCCGGCCCGTGACCCGGCCCGAGAAAAGTTATATAATTTTTAAAGTTATCAAAGCAGAAAGTAGTCAAAAAATATAAAGTTTTTGATTAAATTTTTAAAATTTTTTAAAATTTTCAAAAAAACAAGCTGAAAAACTAGCTTCTTTACGAACAGCGGCCCGGCTTTCTCAAATTCTCAACGGGCCGGCCCGGAATTCTGCAAGTATGACATTTTTTCGAAAGTTTTAAATTGTTTTCAAAAATTTAAAAAAAACGACTCTTTGTTAATTCTGTTAGATAATTTAACTTTTTTCTTTTTTCATTCAAAAAAATTACCTAATTTTTCATTGGAAATTTTTCAACAGTAGTAGGTTGGCCGGGCCTTTTGCAACTATGAAAAAAAAAACTTCCAGCTTATTTCACGCAGATTTCTTTGTTTATATTTGTTATAAATTATGGCTACCAACATTGCTGATAATTTCAATGAAATTATATTATGAAATTAAGGCAAGAAGGTTCTAAAGTTGGTAAAATTCCGAAGTCTTTTTTGTATTGACAACTTCCATTTTTGTTCTACTGACCCGTTTTCTAATTTGACATGATTCGAACTTTGAAGACCACACCCTCATCAAAAATACTGAAACGTTGGCTGCCGAAACTAGAAAATTCTGCCAAAAAAAACAACCGCTATTCTTGTTGTTTGTTTGTGTGGTGTTTGGCCATTTAGAGTGAAAAAACTGTCATTGAAAACAATTTTTCAAAGAATCGTTGTTGGTAAATAAGGAATAGCTTGTTGGCTTCAAAGAAAGCTTTTCTTTTCATTTGCTTGTTTCTCGCCTTTTCATTTTTTTTTTGATTATACTGTCATTTTTAGAATTCACATAGTTGATTTTCCGACCAAAAATGGTTGAAAAACTCCAGAGCTTCCGAATAGCATATCTCTCTTCATCTCATCTGTATGTATGTCCGGGAATGAGCGCTCACGTTGTCGAAATTTCTGGGCCCAGTGAGAGGGGGAAGAGTGAGTAACAACAGCATTGGTAGGGTGTGTGTGCGTGCGAGTGTGTGTGGTTGGGGTCGTACAGCGTAACAAATATAACGAAGAGACAGCAGATGGCATTTGGTTAAAGAGTGAGGGAAGAGAGGAGAGCGCAGAGAAGAGCCCCACTCAACATTGGCAGTAGCACTATTACTGCCATAGGACCTCTCTCTTGTTTGTTCTTTTCTTTGAAGAGGAATAAGAAAAATTACTGTTTTCTTATTTTCTCCCATTTCGCTTCTAGTGGTTTTGATTTCACAACTTTTTGGGAGCATCAATGACTCACTTCAGAATATGAATCACTCTTTTTCCTCTGCTTTTTTATCAACCCTTTCCGTTTTTGTATAGTATAAGTTAGCACCATATATGATTTCATCTCAATTGTCTTTCTTTTCAGCATGAAAACCATGCAACTGGTATATTCACCCGATGACGATGGAAACGTCGAACTCAAAAAGAAGCTTCAGAGAATCATGCCGACACAAATTCAAGATATCGTGAGTTATTTGTTCCGTCGTTTCCAGAAACATCGATTTTTCATTTTCAGATAGCGACTACGATTCTTCTCCTAATCCTTCCAATTGGCTTTTCTATTCACTACCTTTACGTCCTTCCAACATGGTATCCAGTGATGGGTGAAGCGTGGGTCATTCGAGCTGTGGCGATTGGATTAGGAATTTTCAACGTGTACACAAATTGGTTTTTCATGGTCAAAACGGGACCAAACGGCAAGCACTCGATGCTTCCAAATGTGGTCAAGCCGGGATTCAAGTAAGTATATTTTAAAAAGCTTTGTATGAAGATTATCGATTTCCAGGCACTGCCATAGCTGTCACTCGATGTCCCCACCAAGAGCTCATCACTGCCCTGGTTAGTTTTTCTTTGGTTTTGTTTAGGTATCAGTTTATGGTTGCTGATGTCAATAGCGTTAAGTATTGAAAACCACCAAAGATGAAAACGAATCAGCCAAAAAAGCCAGCTGATACTCTTGACCAACTTCGGCTGTGGTTTTTTTGGGAAAAAGCTTGCCAGACACTGCTTAAGCTTTTTCAAAGTCTGCCCACGCTGAGCTCAAATTTTGACAAACGTTTTCCCAACGTTCGCTTAACAGAATCCAGACGAAGCCGAAATTTCTATCAGAGAAAAAATATCCTTTTCAATTACGAAATCCGTTTGATCAGTAATTCCGATTTTTCATCTGAAAAGGCGAAAAACGTACAATAAAGCTACCTGTTCTTGAAAACATGTTAACATACCGTTATCAATTCTATTTTTACAGTTTGTGACGTATGCGTTCTTCGCCGTGACCATCACTGCTCATTTGGAGGCGTTTGCGTCGGACACTTCAATCAGAGGTGAGTAGGATAAAGAAGTACTGTGGATTACCGTGAAACCTGTATTATAAGGTTTGCTTCAATGGAGAGACCCTCTAGTTAAAACAATCTTTAAGATGCGCTCGAAAAACTAGTAGGGTCGCTCTAACTAATGAGCATCTTTTATAGAAAACTTAAGATAACTAATCCTTGTGATACAGAATTTACGGTACCTGAAGAATCGCATCATTACGTAGATCTGGGAAAACCGATTATCAAATACAGCAACAAAATGTTTTAACAACTAGCACTTCTGGAGTAAGAGAAGCCATCAGACACGTTTTTTTGACAAATTTGTTAGCTTTTCTGTGGGAAAAGTCATCTTGAAAACACAAGCTCCCTCAAAATCAATTCCGACTATTTCAGATACTTTGTCGCCGCTGTCATTAATCTTTTCCTCTTGACTATGCCACTAGTCTCCTACGCCTGGTCTCTCTTGAACCTGAAGCTTGCCGGTGGAGTCAGCGTCGGAAATATTTGGCAAGTGATGCTCCCTCATCTCGCTTGGACGTTCGGATTCATTTCTTTCAACCAATTCGCCCACGTTCTCCTCTTTGTCTTCACCTTCACCACCTCGCTTTTCGCTTTCTACTTGGTAACTGCTCAAGTTTTCTGCCTGTTCAAGGGACAGACCAGAATCGAATTTCTTATGGTGAGTTTTTTCACACGATTCGCCAAATATATATGTAACTCTAAACAGCATTATTTTTCCAGGAAGTCCATGCCTATCAACTTGGATTCGTCGAAAATCTTCGTCAAGCTCTCGGATCCCGCTGGCCATTCATCGCCATCTCGTGCTTCATCCCAAGTCCTCTGCCAACTGATGGACTCAGTTTTGTCACTCGTGAAATGTTCAATCTTCACACCAAAGATCTCTAAAAACCCATTCAAATACTTCTCAAAACCTGAAATCCGTCTACGTGTGCTTTTTTCATGTCCAGTTTCCTTTCTTTCCTACTATATGTCCTTAAAATGGACTTTGATACAAAAATAAACTTTGAATTTCACCTAAAACTAATTTTATCTTGACCGACTGGAAAGAACAAAAAAGAAAAGCATCGTTTTCACCTTAAAATTCGGTCGATTTCAACGCCGATCTCTTCAAATCGAAAATCAGAAGATAAGCGTTAATGAAACATAGGGAAGACAGAGAGAATGAGACCACTGATAAGAAGTAAAAGTTACAATTTTCGATAAGCGGCTTGCACTCGGTATTCGACTTGCTCCACCACTCGCAGCAGCACATTCACCATGAAAGGTAAGTGATTATTAATTAAAGAAATAAATTGAGGATATGACATGACCTGTTTCAGTGCTTCTCGGCCTCCTGTTGGCCTCTTTAGTAGCATCCCAAAGCTCGGAAGGTCGTGATGAGAAATATACATACAAGCAATTGTGCATTGTAGATGATAAGCCACAAGTTCTTGATGGTAATTTTCAAGAAATTTAAATTGTGGATTTGAAAGACAAGATTTTTAGGATTTGACTGCCGTAATCAAGTTGCAGTGGCCAGATGGCAAAATGCTGTAAACACAACTGGGTGAGCAAGAGAAAAATTGTTTTTTTGTAAATCAGCAATCAGAGTTATCAATTAGTTGAATTTTTTGTAAGCATGTTTACTGAAAAGTGACTGACTTTTATCTAAAATCTAAACTTTAAAAAACGAAACCTGTTCAGATGGACCTTCCTTGAAGTGGAGACCAAGGAGAACTACTGCCCACAACTCCAAGCTTACTCTGCTGGATATCTTGAGGGACTCCTCTCCAAAACCGTTCTTTCATACCATTTGAAAAACGCTCAAGAGGATTACTGTAAGAACTTCACTGGATACTGCTCCAGACTCTCCGATTTCCTTGTCGAGAACCAAAAATGGATTCAAACTACATTGGAGACAGTCGCTCCGGATGATCTCTACTGGGGAGCCGTCAACAGAACCTACCACCAACTCTCCGGAATGATTGATGCTTATGAAGGACGCGAGTTCAAGCCAAGAGTCACCTATGAGCTTCACCCAATCTTGTATCTGAACTTGAACGGAGATTTCTACGATTTGGAGAAGAAATTGAACAAGACCAGAGACCCGGCTCTTGACCAAACTGGAGGAAAATGCTCCGGACTTATCAAGGTTGCTCCAGGAAACGCGGATCTCTTTATTTCTCAAGTCACCATGTCTGGATTCCAAAACATGCTCAGAATCATCAAGCTTTACAAGTTCGGTTATGACCGTCAATTCTATCCTGGATACGGATCATCGTTCTCTTCCTACCCAGGACTTTTGTACTCTTCTGATGACTTTGCACTTCAAACTTCTGGATTGGTATGTTTACTTCGAAATGTTGCCATTTTTCTTATCAACTTATCAAATTTTCATAATTTTGCTGATTTTCAGGCTGTCATCGAAACCACTATCAGTGTCTTCAACACTTCTCTTTTCGAGAATACCAAACCAGTCGGTCAACTTCCAACCTGGGTGAGAGCCATTATCTCCAACCAACTTGCTCGTGACGCTAGAGAATGGTGCAAACTGTATGCTATGTACAACTCGGGAACTTACAACAACCAATGGGCTGTTTTGGATTACAAGAAGTTCACACCAAACAAGCCACTTGCCAAGTATGGACTCTTCTACGTCCTTGAGCAGATGCCGTAAGTCGCCAGGCCTGAAATTGGATGAGCTAAACGTATAAAATTTTCAGAGGAAAAATTGTGTACTCCGATTTGACATGGTTCATTGAGAAGTACTCTTACTTCCCATCCTACAACATTCCATTTTTCAAGGAGATCACTGAAATCTCTGGATTCATCGGACAAGCTGCCAAACTCGGTGACTGGTTCAAGTGGGGAGCCTCACCAAGAGCAAAGATCTTTGAGCGTGACCACATCAAGGTTCATGATTTGGACACCCTCACCGCTCTCATGAGATACAATGACTACCAGAACGACGAGTTCTCCAAGTGCAAGTGCAACCCACCGTACTCTGCCGAAGCTGGAATTTCTGCTCGTGGAGATTTGAATCCAGCCAATGGAACTTACGAATTCCCAGGACAAGGACACGTTAACCATGGAGCTTTGGATTATAAGGTACATATCAAAATTCAGAATACAGAAAACATAACCTATCGTGTTCTTGTTTCCAGGGAACCAATGTTGAGTTGATGAAGAAACTTCAATTCGTTGCTCAAGGAGGACCAACATGGGGAAAAGTTCCATCGTTCAAGTGGTCTGAGTTTGACTTTGTGAGTTATGATGCCTAAAGATTTATCACTGACTTTTTAAAAGTTTTGTTTTGAAACTGTGCAAACATTTGATGCTTTTCACCAAGTGCATTTTCAGAAGGACAAAGTCAGCCATGTAGGACACCCAGATGAGTGGAAATTCAACACTTTGATTCACAAATGGGAAACCGAAATCTTCTGAATTGGCGAATCTCGACAGAACCTCTTCTCATTGATGAATAATGATGATAAAAACTTTTTTGTCCAAATTTCCTTCTCATAGTTGTTACTGAAGTGTTGTTTGTTTAATTCTTCCACGTGACATTCCAATAAAACTAAATATGGTAGTTCAATTACCAATTTTTATTCCAGAACACACAAGAGAGTCAGAACGCAGTGTCACTTGAATACCTATTCCTCAATATAGGACAAACGTTTTTTCTTCGTACCCCCTCTTATATTTGTTTGTGTGCCGCTCTCACATCTTTGACTTTGACACTCATTTGCCGACTTTTTGACATTTTAGTTACTTTTCCCACAAGTACTACGGTAGCTCCGAAAAGAAACATCCCGAGACATTACAAACCGAGATACGCAGTACTGAGTCGCCTGTTGACATTTGTTCGATTTGTTCTGTGTTGGGAGATCCTTGTCTCGTATTCCCCGCCTCTCTTAACAAATTACGAGACCGGCTATCACTAGAAACACAGTTTCTGCAAACTGAACTTATTCTTTCTTTGCTAGATACAATTTTTGAAAAACAAGAGCAATGAACAGACCGTCAGGTAAGCAACGCTTTTGAAAGTTTCTAATCAGAGGTCTAGTCTAAAGATATCGACGTTATTGATGTCCGTGATTTGAGCCTTTTCAAAAAAGTTTGAGGTTTCTCGAAGAAGCCACACTCTAAAAAATCGAACGTAAACTGAATTGCTAATCACGACCTCTACACTTTATTTTAAAACTTTATTTAAAAAAAACTTTATTTTAAAAACCGTGAAATGAACGGGCTTTGAACTCGTTTTTCTTGGATCTCATGCAAGATATCGAAAAATGCCAACTGATAAAATTTTGTGGTAATTTGATACAAATTTTATCACCTGTTAACATTTTCATATCTCTGACAGGAATCGAGATAATTGAACACAAAGTTGACTGTTTATGTCGTCTTCTATTAGAGGAAATACGGTAAATTGAATAGTAAATCAGGATTTTGTTTCATTCATCATAAATATCCCCGAAATCTATGAAAACTCTCGCAATTACTTCAATTCGAACCTTCCTATTTGTTCGGGCCTCAATCAGATCCCAGGCAGTTACTGCTATCCCTCTATTAGAAGATAACTTCAGGTTTGAGCTGATTTATCTCATTTCCTGTCGAAGATATGAAAAAGTGATCAACTGCCAAAGTGTTTTTTATAATATCGGAAATATTTTGTCAATTACTCACTTCTTGAAATCTTATGTTATATGATTCTTCATTCTATTCAGTCTCAGTATCCCTACTTGAAGCTAACACCTCTAATTAAATGCTCTAATAGAAGCCCACCCTATATGTTGACTTTGAGCTCAATTACTTCAGTTACTCCACAAGATATCAGACATCTGTAGATTGATAAAATATTGGCGATAGTAAAAAGAACATTTTATCAGTTGTAAGTTTTTTGATATCTTTCGAAGGTACCAAAATAATTCAGCTCGAAGTGTAGGACGGGTTTCTATCAGAACCCTCATGGTATAATTCCAAAGTTGAGTTAAACTCTAAACATCAATATAAAGTTTTTAGGATACGATGTGGACAATGAAAAACGAATTGCTGGACTTCGCAATCTCGAAGAACGGATCTTTGTTCTATTATTAGCGGTAATCTCAAAAAGCTTCAAAATCCATTTTTTGCCCAATCTGTTTGTTCAGCTCGTCGGAGTTGCGTTCGGTGGCTACGTCATCTACTTGATGTATAACAGTGTCACCATCAGTGAAAGATGATCAAAAATTGAAAGTTATCAGGATGCGGGTTTTTTTATATTTTTTATGTTTTCTGTTTTTTTCCAACGATTTGAAATGAATGTGTTTTATTTTGAAATGTTTTGTTGTACAAATAGAGAATCAGCATATGAGGTGAGGAAATTCAATTTTCAATTCATAGAATTATGGAGTATCGTAGTAATAGTCATCGTGGTTTTTCATAACAGATGGTGAAATGGCGACTTCCTCATCCAACGGTAGAACGGCTTCCGGTATATCATCTTTTCCAGTTATTATAGTAACACCACACAGAGTTGCAGATTTTTGAGGGCGTGGCACAAAGAATCTGAAATCGAATTTCAGTAAGAATGTGTTTCATGGACTAGCAGTCTTACTTAGAACCACCCAGAGTCTGATTCGCCATTCGAAACTTATATTCTCCAAGCGCTACCATACAACAACTGAAACGCTTTCTAGTGATGTCTAAGATTTAACTTTCACCCACCTGAACAAGAGCGCAAACATTAGCACTATCAAAATCCCTGAGATGATCAAATACTGCGGTTGCATTAAATCACAGTTACAATAGATCGCTATCACATAGCGGACAAATCTGACAACAAAGAACGATATCAACAGAAATAGGCCAAGAGCTGTGATTCCTAAAGTCAGAAAGAGAAGGAGATAGCAAATTGAGCGACCGAGGATGTCTGGAACAAATTTTAAAATGAATTAGAAGTTAATATCATTGAAGCTTACTCAAAAAATACAATATCCTTGATAGGTAGTAACCACTAGCAATCATAAAATGAGTAGTATTACTGTGTGGTGGTTTTCTCTTTTTCTTAGGTTGATCTCTTCTCGTTACTGCATACTCCATATTTTCTATTGGTAAACAGTTACCAATTCTTCCAACTTTTCGATCAATTGGGTTTCGAGATTGATCTGTAGTACCATCCGTACTACTATTCTATAATATTATCGATATTTTTCGTTTTTTATATGTACGTGAACAAAATCTTACACTTGCAGATGACATAACTTCCGTTTCATCTTCGCTCTCGTCGTCGTCTAGATATTTTTTGATCTGAAAATTTACTCATGTATTAGAACGGATAATATGATTGTCGGGATTCTACCTGATGCTTCAAATTTTTTGTAGTTGGTCGAAGTTCTGGAGACTTCACAAACATGTAATCCACAATTTTCTGAATGCATTTTGACGAAGATGGCACTAATACTTCAGAAGTGTATGGCAGCTCTTTTCCGTCAACTCGTTTTGCGTAACCTAGTAGAACTTGTGGGATCTCATTAATGTTCCCAAAGTACTCAAAATGAGGTGGCAGTTTGAGCAGCATTTCGATGAACGTGCACCCGAGGGCCCTAAACTCAAAATACGGTTTTGATGAAAATAGATAAACCTTATACCAGATATCTGCCGGGAGCTCATAAGCTTTGCGGTTCCCTGGTCCCAATTTACTACTTAAAACTTCCGGAGCAACGTATAACAGTGTTGCTCTAAAATCCAAGGTAATTTCCGAAGCAACTGCAATGCCGTATCCATCTATTGCCAAATCACGGACTAATCCAAAGTTTGCGAGCTTTATGCTATCACCGATTGTGATCAATAAATTGGCAGCTTTGATATCTCTATGGACAACTGGAGGATTCAATGTATGAAGGTAGTCAAGAGCTTCAACTGTCTGAAAATACAGTTTTTTGGTGATATTTGAACGTTTCGCAGCCGTTTTGTTTCAAGTCAAAAAGTTTCAGGTTAAACCACTTTTCTGGTATTTTCTCAAGGCGTTTTAATTATTAAAGATGGTTAATCGAACATGTGGTTACGCTACAAGTATGCGTTTTGTTATTTCGAATCTTTTTTTTCTTACTTCCATCAAATATTTGATTGCTGTGTCCTCTCCTATTGTTTCTCTAGTAATCATATCTTTCACAGATCCACGTGGCAAGTATTCCGACATTATGTACATTTGTTTACTGCAAATCGGATTATTTCTTTTTGAACAGTTCCGATCTTCATTCTTCTACTCACTTGTCTGCGTATACACCCAAAAAATTCACAATGCGATTGTTGTCGTTGGTAACTTTATGCAAATATCGAAACTCTGCTATAAAGGTGTCCAGCCTCTAAAAATCAAAATCAACATTTTTCGATGACTACATAAACAGGTGACACTGACGTTTGAGACTTTTGTGGCGTCTTGTGACCAATGATCGAATATTTCCATGTTGACTTTTTTCACGGTTTCGCATAGAAGGGTACTGCTGTTCATGAATTTGCAAACCTGGTAGAAAAAATCAATATGATAATTATTTTTGAGGCGACACTATCTCTAATACAGATTTTGACCTTTTTATCAGAAGAATACAATTTTGCACTGGCTAAAAACTTTTTTGCGTTATTGGGAGAAACATTTCGGGAGTAATTGCACAGGGAACAGCGAAATAGCAAAATTAAGGAAATTGCGGATCTATTAACAGCAAATCGGAAAAAAAATACACAACGTTTATGAGGACCAGAAAGCTTTTGAGAATGACAACTCACCGTACCAAATCGACCTTTTCCGAGATCTTGCAAATATTTGTACGAATCGATTGAAGGGATCCTCAAAGGATCTCCCATTGGGATCCTTTGGTCCAACCATTGCAAAAGTTGGGAGCTCAAATTTAACTTTCCCTTGAAAAATACAAAAAATTATATTCCGAAACTGGTAAAACTAAACCTCAAACGCATTTCTATTGTAGTTTATTGTCATTCCCGTGGGCTCCTAACTGCGAAAAACTGACGAGAAGCAATAGGGAAGAGTGCGGGCTGACCAATTTATTACGTTTAGTTTTTCACAAAAAAATGGAGCAAGTGGAAAATGTTGCAAAAACTGCAATTCTATGGCGGAATCGTAGGAAGGTAGGGCAAGAAAAGGTGGGGGAGCAGAGAGTGGTGGAGAAAAAAAAATCACAGTCAAATCGCCGACGTCAAATGATTTCTGTCAAAATATAGATAAGCGGTAAATGATTCCATTATCGAAATTTGAGAGTTTAGCGAGCGTATTAAGAGAGCATTCCACGTCTCTGATGCAAGGTCAAGGTTACAAAACACTCGAAACCATATATTTTGTGACAGTAGCCCTTTCTAAAATAGGGGTAAACTTCAAAATAAGGAAGATCGCTCGACTATGAAATCCGCCAAATTGAAGAAAAAAGCATTTTTTGACTGTTGGTATGATCATTTTTTGCCCTTCCAGCTTTGGGTGTTCTCTAATCTCTATGAAGCTTTAGTAGTGTTCTCCTGAAAGTGCAAAGAATTTAGTTTGTCGTGTTAACTTTCTCTGTTTTTATCGTCATCAAAAAATGCGTGTCCTGGTTGATTCAACTGTGCAGCAACGATAAGCTTATTAGTGTCGTCAGATGAACATTGAACATCACATTCTCAAACATTCTGATACCTTTGAATTTTCTCTAACAGGTTCGCGCTGCTCTACGTAACTGATTATTGTGTGGAAGAGACTATACAATTGTTAATGAGCGGTTACGGAGGAAGCAATTGTGTATGACTAATTTTCAAAATTTAAAAAAATTTTCGGAAAGTATTCGAATACTTTACCGGTCAATTAGATATACAAAAACGTATTTTTCAGCTGACTTTCGGCCATTTTGAACATAGTTCGGTGTCTGGAGCTCGGGTGTAAAGTTTTCTTTGCTTTGAAAATTATGGAAGGTTTGAAACAGACCAAGATTTAAAATTTGTTTTCACAGAGTTGTTTGAAAATTCCTAGTTTTTCAGCTGTTTGTGTCTTCTGAAAGGCACCCTTTTCGGTCAATTTTCATACTGAAGACGATGAAAAACAAGTATCTTTAAATCGGCATATAGCTGAAAAATTAAGGATTTTTTGACAAATTCCATGATTGCAATGATCTCAATCTGGTTTTGTTTCACACGCTTCGGAATTTTCAGAGTAATCGATTCTTTATAGTCAACTGCAGATCAGAAACCCTCCTGATTAAATCTTCAAGGTGTTTGTTCTTGATTTCTGTAGAAGACATCCGAACCTGGTCAACAAACAAAATGTTAATCAAAAATTGAGAACTTTCCAACTGTGAACCAGTGTTTATTTTGAAAGTACCTAGTTTTCATGGATATATCATATGAAAACTTTTCGTCTCGATCAATTGAAGCTCAAGATATTACTCAAACTTTATATACACCAAAAACTAAATAAATACAAAACAATATTTACTCAAAGTCATCATTAGTTGCATTCCACCAATTGACAGGTTCAATTGGAATTCCTTTAACAAATCTCACGGGTTCTCCAATTCCTTTTCTCCCATATCTGCTTATTTCGGTAGCTGATGAAGCACGAGTTGTCATCGATGCTTCTTTTTGCTTCTCTTTTCAGCAGTGGAATTCGACCAACTGTCGTTTAACAATTTTACGGCAATTTTCGGCGGTTGCGTCGTATGTAGTTGCGTTGCAAATGTGCGGGCAACTACTTTCTGGGTGGTTATGGTGGTGCTGGTGGTGGGGACACTGGATCTGGTTGTAGGAAGAATATAAGATGAAGATGGGAGAGTTGGTTCGATGTGGATGATCAGCGGTTTTGTAGTTTCGGTAATAGGTTCTATTGTGGTGGTTTTCGGTGGCGTTGTTGTTGTGGTGGATGTAGTTGTAGTGGCGGATGTAGTGGTAGTTGTTGAAAGTTTACTCGAAGTTGCTGTAGTTAATGTAGTTGGTTTAGCCAGCAATAAACCGTTCAAAGTGATATCTGAAAACATACCGGCACTGATAACTTCTAATTCTAATGAAACTCACTTTCTAAACGAGATGTAGTAACAGGAAGTTTCGTCGTAGTAGACATCAATGCTGTTGCGTTTCTCCCACTAGATACAGTAGTATTCTCAGATTTCTTGGTGCAGTTCTTCTCATCTTCTCCTTTCCCGCAATCGGGTTTTCCATCACAAAGCTGGCTAGGTTTCAAACAATTTCCAGAGGATTCGCATCTGCAAATTGTAGTTTCCGGTATCAGCGACATAAAAAACTTGAAAAAATCTCACCTGAATTCATCTGAGGAGCAATACGTGAAATACTGGGTTGTTGTTGACTTGTCTGCCAACAGACTTTGATACTTTCTCATAAGCGACTCTGGTTGACGGAACCAGTCTATTGAAGTGCAGTTGTATTCATCTTCACCAGCATCACAGTCCTAAAATTGTTAACGTTTTAAAGTTTTTTTGAAAGCTTAGATTTACCGGGTGTCCATCACATAACCACTCATGAGGTATACACCGTGCTAATCCATGCTTCTTGCATTCAGGTTGGTTTCCAAAGCAAGAAGAGTTCTCTGGAAAACAGTTATCTTATAATGCATACAGTATTGAGCATTGATAAATAAATCAATTTTTCAATAGAAATGTCTAAATGAATGTTCTGGAAAATGCTTAGACCTTTGTACAAAGCTCTCAGGGTGAATGATTCGGAAGGTACATATAAAAATTTTAAGGACATATGGGTGCGAACCGAGTTGAGGGTACAAAATAACGGAGAAAAATTTAAATTTGTACTACGAATTATCGCTTTTGTACCCTTGAATCGCTTTGTACGTCATTGAACAACTCAAAGTTATTTACTAAAACAGTTGTCTGGTGTAGAAAAGTTAGATTCAAAGTTATTTTGCGTGTACTATTACCAGTTTTCAACAAAAATTATGATGAGAATTCGTTTTCCAGATTTTCAATACTTACGTTTCCGAGTGAAAAGGGGAGAAACTCATTTCGTTTCAAAAAATGTTTCACTCTACTCACTATTCATATGTTTGTCACATGCTTCATGATGCTCATCGGATCCATCCGAGCAGTCTCTAGCACCATCACAAACCCAATCATTAGTAATGCATCTTCCATCATTACAAGCAAATTGTCCATCTGCACAAACATCACCTGCAATTATTTATATTCAGACATTCCCCTTTTTTTCGTATCAATTGATTGATAAAAAACTCTCAAACTCACTCGCTGATTTGATCGAATGAAATAGAGAAAGGGAGATAAGTGCCAGGAAAAAGTTCATTTCAAGAGCGCCGTTTTTAGTGGCCAAGACAAAATGTGTACAGCTAGTAGTGAGTTTTCATTGTTGCGTTCTCCTATTTTCCTTTTTTTTTTGAAAAGGGCGGGCTGTGGTTGCCAGGTGCCCGTCAAGTTTCGTATATATTTTTTCGTAAAAGGAAGAGGGACCAAAATTGGACGACCACAAGATCTATACAACTTGAAAAGAAGAGCGCAAGAACCACGTTAGGCAACAACAATTAGAAAAGCGGCGTGTTTGTTCGAAATTTAAAAAAATAACCAGGTTCAAAAAGATTGTTACTGCTGAACAGGTAAATTGAAAACCGGTCGCCTATGTTTGAAGCCGAACAATTTTTGAAGGAAAACCAGCAGAAACCAAACGGTCTACTAAAACCAAAAAATCGAGAAGAACACATGCTGATTTTTTGTGACAAAAACCAGCATATTTAGTCAGTCTTCAGTCTCACTGCGCTAATTTGCAGAAATTCGAAAATTTGTCTTGAAACAAAGTTGGTCGCTGACGAAAAACTAAATTTATTTAGCAATAAATCTTATCCCGCAGCAATTGGGCTCTTAGAACACACAATGAACTTGGTGGGAACATTTTTCGAGAAGAAACCAAACGTATTGCTAGCAGTTGTTCTTTATTTTACATCACACTTCCATCTGGCATCATTTTTGCTAGTTTTCCCAAGAATTTTGTCTTGTCCTTATGAATTTAACTTTTTAAAAAATTCACTGCGTATTTATTCCGCTTTGTGCTAATTAGTTTCCCTAGCGTCGCTGGTTCATTAAATTTTGGCGTTAACAAATTTAAATGTGACAATTTGAAATAGTCAGCTCCACCAACTAAACACTAAAAATTATTCACATCGAACATTCAATTTTCCTTCTTTCCAATTTCGTTTAGCTTTAAGCACCTTCTCCTCAATTCTTCTTCAATTCTCCCATTACGTATTCTTTCCCTTCGTAGCTTTCACTTCCAAACCGCTCTCAATTCTATTATATTCTTGCTTTTCAGCCGCATTCATGTTTTTCCGATGGCGCTGCGAACAAAAAAACCTCAAACGACACTCCGTTATCCCGTCCGCGCGCGGTTTAGCCACTCCACGTTGGTTAATGATGGTGTGCACAAGATATGGTTGGTCGACGTCGGTGAACACCACCTCTTTTTTCTCGGTCCATTTCGTGTGTGTGCGCGCAGTGTCGACGGCCCCTTCTAATCTTTGCGTTGACGTTCTATCGATTTTCTTTTTTTAGTTGTCCTCTCTCGGTCAGTTAGCCCGTCAAACATGGACGAATACCGGCAAACGCTGATTGCGCAAATGATGGTAAGCATTTAAAATTATATTTTGAGAAAATAGAAGCATTTTTTTTCAGGAAGTAACAAACTGCAGTCAAGAAGTTGCTCTAGATTATCTTACACGCACAAATTACGATGTTGAAACGGCTGTTCGGCACTTTTTCGAGGTCATTTCAAAACGTTTCGCAATTTTTCGCAACATCTTTGTTTTACAGGGAACAATTCCAGCTGCAATTACAAGTTCATCTAGTCCATCGATCTCTACAACGTCTTCTTCTCGTACATCACTGCCTGGCTCTCCAGAAACAAGCAGCCCCAGCAGAGCTGGACCAGTGCTGCCCAGGTATGTTTGGCGTTGAAGGAAAACTGTGAAATGAGATTTTTTTAGATACCATTCTCTCGTTCAGTTCTTCGCTCAGTTTCTGACGCTTCCATTCCGACTGCCACTTATCGTGCTCAATTATGTGTACAATTTCTTCATGGGGAAGTCAGAACCTGTGTACGCGCACATCTTCGAGTACATTTCCAAGGAATACCCCCAGTATGATAGTCAAAAAGAGGCAGTGTTCTACAAACGTCGATTGACAAGTGTGAGTTGTTTGATTGATGTTTCAGCGATACACAGATAATCCGAACAATAAAATATCCCAATAAAAATATTCCCGAATGTATCGCAGCTCGTGTTCAGTGAGGAAAAATCAATGATGTACCGGTCCATAAGATACCGTAAAACCTCTAATAGAACGACACCCGGATCGTCCACTTTGAGCCTATATATCTCACTTCTTTTGAAAGGTATCAAAAAGTGGTTAACTAGTAAAATGTTTATCAGGATATCAGCAACATTTTACTAGTTAGCCACTTTTTGATATCTTTCACAGAAAATGAGATATATAGGCTCAAAGTGGACGATCCGGGTGTCGTTCTATTAGAGGTTTTACGGTATACGAAAACGAATTTTTGGCCATTTTTACCATTTTCAGAAGTCTGGAGCTCGGGTGTTAGGTTTCTGATCACTCTGAAAGTTTTGGAGGATGTAAAACAAAGCCAAATTAAAAACTTTGCATTCACAGAATTTTCCGGAAGTTTCTTGTTTGTCAGATATTTGTCGTTTTTCGAAAGACATCCCTGTTTGTTCTGAAAACCTGAAAAACACAGGTGTCTTTCTGGAATTGGCAAATAGCTGAAAAAACTAGGGAATTTTGAAAATTTCGCGAATGCAAAGTTTTAAATCTACATCTGTTTTACACACTCCGAAACTCTCAAAGTGATCTGAAACTTAGTCGCCGAGCTCCAGACTCCTGAAAATCCTCAAACTGGCCGGAAATTATCTGAAAAATACAGTTTCGTGAATCTGATTGAACTACTGTGACTCTGGATTGCTTGACGGAGAAACGTAATTTAGTTAGTGACCAATGAATTGTACTGTGCATTAGAAGTGAAGAACCAAGAAGGAGAATACCTAGAAGTTAGATTTTGCCTATATGCCCAGAAATAAACTGCTGCAGGAAAAAATTCGCAACAAAGAATTGAACAATACTTTGCTTTTTTTCCACAGTTCCAGATGGCTCGTTGTACAAAATTCGTTTACTAACGTTCATATTTAAAAAAATTTGTCTGACCCTCCTAGCAAACATCAGAATAAGTCTAAATTTTTGAACGAGATCATTCAGCTACATGAAAAGCTCCCCAAAACTATTCACAGTCATCAACAATTGACTAAAAATTGACGAACTCTCCTATTATTTTCATATAAAGAATTTTCTCGTTTCAGCTGCGCAGCGACTTGCCAACAAAACAATGGAGATGGCTCGTCACCTATATCCATGACCCAAGCGGAAATCCCGACTTCTTCAACTCGCTATTCACCTCCAACTTCGCTGAGCAAGTAGGATCTCGTGGAGCCGCTTTCTTCGGATGTGTGATGGGATCGGAAGACGCTCAGAAACGTGAGTTGTACTTCCTGTCGTTCAGGAGCACTTGTTGTGAGGGGATTCATGCTCGACGGGGATCCTCGAATATTAAAAAACACATCTCTGAAAAGACATGGTGCTCAGCTAGCAATACCGGCTAATAATATATGTAATAACTGAATTTTTCATTTTCAGTTCGTCCTGACCGCGCCTTCGGAAAATCCCGCAGAAGCTGCATCATCATTTTCGTCATCAAGGCCACCAGCTTGACAAGAAAGCTCATCATAGAAGATCTCTCAAATCCAGAAGCCGTGGCCACTAATGTCGATCTGGCTCTCATTGATCTCATTGCCGAGGATGCCGACCATATGGAGCGGAACCGGCAGCAAAACGAGTCGCGACGCCTTATGGAGGAGCAGAACCGCGAGTACGAAGCCAGCGTGCAGCGTGATTTAGAGCGTAGGCTTGAGAAAGAAAAGAAGGAAGAGGCCGTGAAGAAGCTTCGGGAAGAGGAAGAGGAGAAACAACGACAATCAGAGGAACGTTTAAAGGTGAGAAATATCTATGATGACCGTATACCCTTAGTGTTGCTAATTGGCGCCTAGTATCAGTTGGATACGCCTTTCTCACGTGACATATTGAGGAGGAAATGTAACTCTCATGACGTGACACTTCCATTCCTGCAAAATCGTGGCTTGGCCGTTTTCTGAAGGGTTCTAGCGACCCCCATCCATCTCGAGACACGTGATGATTTCATTTTCGGAGATTTTGTTCTATTGACCTGTTTTTTGATCTACGTACTTTGTGCTAGTGAAAACGAAGCGATGAACGATTTTAGAATATATAGTTTGTCGTACATACATAATTTCAAATTTTGACAAAATAGAGTCATAAAATGAGTATCCGACAAAATTACGGAATTATTTACAGACCGTCCAAGCCTACAAAAAAGAGCGAATGGAAGAAGATGCATCGGCTGAAGGAGCCCACGACCTTCTCATCCGATTCCCAACTGGCAAAAAGGTTATCAAGTTCAACAGTGATGACAGCACCGAGAAGCTTTTCAACGAAGCCATGCGATCGGAGCTGTGTCCTTTGTTTTTCCAAATGCATCTCAGTTTTCCAAAGAAGCCTGTTCCTTGCTTGCCACAATGGTACTTTGATATTGTATCCGCCGAGGAGCTTGAGCCAAAAGAAGAGTGTCTTTCCAACGAGTCAACGATGGCCGACGCTGGCATCACTCATGGCTCCATGGTCTACATTGATAATTTGTGAATAGTGTAAAATCGATCAAAATACGTGTGTTCCGAACACCTGATTCCAGCCTAGTCATTCTGGGTACAAGATTCTGAATTATGTTATTTATTTTCCAATATTTTCTCATTGGGTATTCGCCAAATCATTGTCCCGACCACTGTCTCTCCATAATTATCCTCACCTCTTTTCTTATTCAACTACGGCTCCTTTTTTCAAACTTATTTGAATCGTTCCTGTTAAGTTCTGCCTAGTTTCAATTTTCATAATTGTGAATTTTTCCATTATTATGCCCCGTTTCCTGCTTTTGAAAATGAATTTATTGATATCTTATCATATGCATTTTGAACTTTTTTTTGATTGGCTACCAATGCTGCCAAGATGCGGGAACTTTATAAGCTGCAATGTTCGCAGGGAAAAATTACGGAATTGTTGAATCAGATATTATTCCGGATGGTTTCAAAGATAGATATGAACATAATGAAGATCCTATCAACTTTCATTAAACTACGGTAATCCCCTGTTGTAAAATAAATGTTTTTTTTCAAATGAATTCATTGATACCGTTGCGTGTGTATTGAATAATTCTTTCAATGATCTACGCTACCAGGACTACTGTAGACAAAGTTGAATCAGCTTCTAAGGTTTGAGAACTTTCAAAGCTTTAATGTTCACAGAGGAAAATTACAGAATCGTTGAATCAGACATTATTCAACATTATTCTTTCCAGATATCATTGTAAATTCAACAAAGATATTATCAAATGTTATCAAACTATCGTAATCCTCTGATGTATATTTTTATATGATTTTCAAATGAATTCATTCATTCCGTTAAATGTGAATTTGAAGTACTTTCAATGAGCTATATGGGGACTACTGTAGGCTGCTATGATGTGGGAACTTTAGGAGCTGCAATATTCAAAAAGAAAAATTAAAGAATTGTCGGATCAGATATTGTTTAGGATGGTTCGAAGAAGAGAATGACTACTGTAGATATAAAGCTGCTAGAAAACGGGAACTTTAGAAGTTTCAATTTCCTCAAGGAAAAAAACAGAATTGCTGAATCAGATTTTGTTCAGGATGGTTCCTAAGATAGGCATGATCATTCTAAAGACTCCATCAACAGTAATTAAGCTACCATAACCTACTGGTCATAAAATCTAACTTAGAGGAATGTTGAACTATCGTCCAACAGTCACATCAACAAAAGACACTCGAAAACCCTCAAATACTGTATTAAAAAAAACCCGAAAAACCGTGTGACTCCTATTATCAGATCACTACACTACATAGTTTGGTTCCGATCGAAATACCATTCTCTGCAGAAAAATAAATGCGAACGTGCCAATTACCAGGTCCTTTCGTTTTTTTTTTCTCTCTCTGCATTTGCGGAAAACGGTTTGTGTTGTTTATGCCTCCAAAGCATACCCAAAACCAGCGATCGTTTTTCTCGATACGGTAATTCTGCTATCAGCAAGTGTTAGAGAGGGGATACACGGGCCCCCCGCGCGCGCACATGACCATCTTACGTGTAGATTTGAAAAGAAAACGGCTATGACGAGAAGAACACTGATAGGATTCTGACCCCTCCAAAGTACGCTCGATCTTTTCTGCGTGCGCGAGGAACCATATGAGGAATCGTTGAGGTACAAGACGTGTGATGATTAATGATGGTGAGGGCGATAGTAATAGACGGGGGAATACCCTTTCCGATGGACATGGAAGCGGCGTGAAAAGATTGCCGACGTGACTTTCACATCTTCATAAATTCCCTCTCATAAATTTGGACGAAATGACTAGTGTCAAAAAGTTGACAACTATCAAAACCGGTTGTTCTAATGATTATTTCGTTGTTCTGGAAAATGATTTTTAATACAGTATCGAAGATCAGTTGACAAACAATCATGATGATTCATTTTGAAAGTGAGAAGTTTTGGGTGCATATAGTAGCGCAGTCATTTTGGCGCTGGCCATTTTTGGCGTTGGTCTCGAAATGAACAAAATATGGGGATAAGAACTAGCGTGATCAAGGGGAGTGTCGTTCTCAAGGAATACGATTTTTATACGGTCCGATGAAAATGAATAAACTTTGGGTACATGTCCAGGACAAATTTTCCCGTTCAGAAATATCAAAAATTATCTAAAACCTAGATATCAGACGTCCAAAATCCAGAATCTGTTTTCTGAGGTTTTTTTGGATTCTTTTATTTCGAATCCGAAATCAATTAACTTTTTGAAACGTCCGTCTGATAGTTTTTTTTAGAAAAATGAAAAAATATTAAGAAAAGCCCGTCTGGGACATTCCTGAGACCGCCGAGGCTGACTGCAGCAGCTTTTTTGGGGTGTTTAGAATCTCGGCCAGCTCGAGCACAGTCTTGAACAGCTAGTACAGTATTGGTGTCCTCTGTTGGACTGAATTCGAAAATTTATAATGCAGTTCCTTCTCATAGACAATTTCGATCTTTTTTGTACAATTTTGAGCTATATGTGAAGCATATGCTCAATTTTCTCTTCCAAAATATGAAAAATTTTGAAAAATGTTATTTTTGCAACACCTGGAACAATTTCTTATCCCCGTTTCCGTGAATAGAACCGTTACATGAAATCCATGATGCAATTTTCCATTATTATGAAATACAAGCCACCTGTCTTCAAAAAAATGTTGTGTGTTTCACTTAAACCAAGTTAATTTCATCCACCAAAACAAAATGACCCAATCTGGTGAAAGTTCAAAAATTTTTCTGATCACATTTCAGTTTTTGTTTTCTCCTGCCAATCAGATGAGCTAATTTGACTGACCACTCTAGCATATGATTTTCAGCTGATGCGATTCTTTCGATAATATTCTTTTGTTCTAGAACAACTCGAAAGTTCGAGGTCACGCAATACAGTATCCCGCTACATCTTTCAACTACGAAAAAAAACTGAATGCATCGATCATCTTATCGAAATAATGGGATATATCACGTCCAGTTCCAATGTTCGGTTTCAATATCTGTTCTTGAGTATCTTCTGAGAGTATTGATTGATTAAAATTTTTTTCTTATCTTCATCTTCTTAAAGGACATGTTGATTTTCATGTGAAGAATAAGAGAAGTGCAAAGTGCAAATAGTTGAGAAGACAACAGAAAAATTGAAAGGAAGGTAAACTAGTGTCATAGAATTCTGATTGGAAATTTTCAGACATTGATAAAAGTGTCACATGACGGGGGATTCCCCTTATGCAAATGATCGGACCGTTGTTTAGAAATGTTGCAGAACAGGTTTCCGCGCCGAAGTCTCCCGAAGCTTCTCCTTCCTTTGCCTGATATGAATTTCATATTTCTCTTTAAAAGTGAATTGGGTTTCCCTGCGTTGCACCCACATCACACTCAATTCCTGTCTGTTACAGCATTGTTGTTTTCGTTCTTTTCCTTTTTCGTCTTTTCATTTTTGTTCTTCCCTGTTATCTTCTGTACACGCTTTTGAGTATATTCGTCATAATATCATCTGATTTTCATTACCGAAACGCAACATTCTACTTGGGGGTTATGTCAGGACAGATACCCGAACCTAGAGATAAGAGATTGAAGAGAAAAGGGACGGGACGGTTGACCGGGAAAGCCCAATGTGTCGATCGTGATGACTTGACTCCGCCCCTTTGCTATCTTTTCTTTCTCTCCCCTTCCAACACACCCATCGATAAACCTTCACTCTGTATAAAAGGCAACGTTGACCGCGACTATCCCTCATTGATTCCAAAGTAGTACCTCTTCAGTTACCACTTGGAGTTTTCCCCCCCCCTCAAAACACCTCTTGTGCCACTCGTGCCCAATTTTAATTGTTGCTACGTTCGTGTGTTCGCTGCTCCTTGTTCCCAACGCGCTTTATGGATTTTAACCTGTTCTCCGGACTATGCTGATTTCCCAAAAAAGAGACCAATCTTCTAGACTGTCGTCTTCTTCCCAAACCAACGGTAGGTTTCTCCCTCTCATTCTTCATTCCTCATACAGCTCTTTCAGAAATCCCACACTTCAAGCCAGCTGTTTTGTCCTTCCCTGACGATTGGATTAGCACCTCTGTTATCTGTTTCGGTCTCTGCGAGTTGAGCATCCGCGTCGCTACTGCCGGGCCGTTCTAACGTAAAAGCAATTTTAATTAGCTCAAGTTTCTAATTAATAATTTCTAGATGTCTTCCTTCCCAATGATGAGCACCGTCCACCATTGCCGCAACCAGCGTCATTCCGTCGAGAAAGTTCGGGTAAGTAACCACCAATCACGAGTTCTCTCTTCTTGACACTAATTGTTTGTGACTTTGCAGGTTGACGAATTGGTTGAAGAGATGAAGACCCCTCCTCGTCTGATCATTCCAGAGAGAGTAATGAGTGTGCAAACGCCATCATCTCCACAGAGTTCCCCGGCTGTCTCGCCGGCCAACTCACCGGTCGCTAACATAGCTGTAGTTTCGCTTAAGCCAATTTGCAAACCCATCATTGGTAACTTATCTCAATAAACCTTGTGTGATATAACACGTGACTCGATTTCAGGTGTGTTCCGCAAAGAGAGTTTCGTGTTGAACGTCCCATTCATCTTTCCGATTCAGAACTGATGCTTGGTTTGCAAATGAAATGCTTCGACTCGCTTAGAAAATTCTGACCGAATGTCAGATTGTTAGTTTGCTTCTGCTCCTTCTTCAAAAATCCAAGAATATATTACAATCTGCTTTTCTTCTCATATTATTCCTTTTTTTTTCGTGCTTCATGTATCTTGTAGTGTACTTTTTCCAAAATAAAATTTACTGGCAAAAAAACCAAAATGTGTTTTGCAATTCGAAATCTTGATTCTGACTGCACCGGATATACAGTTCAATCGAGCGGAAAAACCATGAAATTCATATACTTTCACCTCTTTTCCAGTTTCTTCACTTTTCCTACATTCGTTTCGGCCTATTCCCCTCTTTTCCAAAATCTTGCAACTTTTTCCGTTTTCCCAAAACAATGAAAAATCATGAGTAACCTTACCGCGTCACGATCGGAGTCTAGCTTTGTGAACGCTGCAAGAAAAATCTCGAGTACAGCAATCAGTAAATCATCAGCGATCAAGAAAGATACGAATCGAACTACTAACACTAGCAACAAAAAAGTGATGCAATCCTTATATCTACTGCGATTGTATAACGTTCTATCATTGACAGGTATCGGCTATACAGCCAAGGGAAAACAGCGAGGAAAGTAGTGATAAAGACGAGGCAAAGGATTTTTTGAAATCCGATCTTGCGGCGAAGCTAAGGGTCTACGATCCCACTTGGTTCAAGGTACATATTCATAGAAAATCTGAGAATTGAAAAATGACAATTTCAGCAAACCGCCCAAAAAAACCCAGAAGTTTTCATCGACTCCAAACAATATGACCAGTTTGCTCGCTTCAAGTGAGATCCAGACTATTTCTGGCTTCGATCGTTCTGCATATGCATCTGGTAAAACCGTTTTGGTATTGGAAAATGGAGATATGAAGCATATTAATCTTGCTGAAGAGCAACCAAAAATGGTATCAATGAATTTGGTTGGAAGAGTCACCTCATTCTCAGTTTCCAATGATTTTACGATTTTCGCCGTCGCTATTGAAGAGGAGAATGTAGCTAAAGTTATGGTATACTCTTTAGAATTAGACATAGGAGAAGAGAAAGCAGTCTATGGAACTCAATATTTATCCCAGGAGATGTGCATTTCTCAAGCAGCCGAGGTATTATTTTCACTACCGTATCCCATCGCATCCCTATCAACACATCTTTTTTGCAGATAATCGCGTGTTTATCAGTGTTGGAAGAACGAGTTCATTTGCAAACTTTCGATGTTAAAGACGGTATCAATAACTGCAGCGGTAACATAATTGCAGAAAAAGTGCCCATGAACTGGCAGATCACTTTCTGCCCAGCCGACGAAGGTGTACTGTGTGCTCTTGGCGGGGGAACAGCGTACTTGCTCAGAGCTAGTGGTGGCCATATAGAGAATTTCTCCACTATTCTGTTACCCGGTGTCCTTTGTCATGACTGGGCAAATGATGTTAATATTATGTTCGGAAATAAGACTGGATTATTGCACATTTACCGGGAAACCATTCCCTTGGATGTGGTGGATATCAGAAAGTTGTCTGAAGAGTGAGTTAAAATTTTTGTTGATGTTACCGTAGACGATCTGATAGAATGATCTCCCTAAGCTTTAATTTTGTGCAAATTCATCTCGGCTCGTGTGAATAATATCAAAATGTGGTTAACAGACAAAATATTTTCGATATTTTAATGAGCATTTTGTCAGTAGACCACTTTTTGATATTTTTCACAGGTAATGAGATATATAAACTCATAGTATACGATGTAAGAGACATTCTATTAGAGTGTTTACGGTATATGTTGCTTTATTGAAGTATCTTGACCGATTCGGTTAACGTCGAGATTATATCCATCCGCAGTACATCACGCCGTCTTGCTTGTCAAACAGGTTCCGGAATCATCTTGTTATTTGATTCGAATGCTGAAAGTGGGCCGGACTGGGGCTCATGCAGAGCATTCATTGTTTGTGGATTCCTTTTTTTTCATTTAATAAAAATTGAAAATTCAGATATCGGACTTTCGACTCAAAAGTTATCACTCGCTATCCTTCGACTTCGCCGACGAAAATTTGTTGTATGATAGCGGCAACGCCCTGCAAACGATCTCGATACAATTTCTGTCAAAGTTGAATTCCTTCAATGGTGACGTAGTATCCGTGAGACACTGCAGTCGAATAATTGGAGCCCGAGCAACAGAATCCACAATTATTACATTAGACGATACAGGGTTGTTTGCTGTGTTTTCAAAGTTTACGAAGTGAGTGGGGAGAAACAGAAAATTGAAGAACGCATGACTGGTTCTTCATCCGTAAAATTTCTTCTAGACGGTTTCTGGTTATTTTTTGTTGACAAAGTGTATTCATCCGGGAAGGAAAACAAACTTTTCATCTTGTGAGGAAACATGTGGCAGAATTAAAAAATTTTCTAGAACATCCAGAATTTTTTCAGCCGTGTACTTTGCTCCAGCCGCGTTCCAGATGCATTCTTCTTCACGGTCCTCGCCACCTCCCACAAACTATTAGTGGTTACTAAAACACATGTTGAAAGTTATACTGTCATGTTAGACGGTCTCAAGGCAGCTGAGTCGATTTTTGAGAAGGAATTGATAATGGTATGTGACACAATCAATAAATCATCACAGTTTTCAATCAATCGTTTTCTTTTTGCGGGCCGCCGTCGATTCATATGACATGTCAACTTTGGCAATATTATATGAGACCGGATTCATTGTTTTTCGCACTGAAGACCGATCTATTTTGATGTCTGAACAAGTAGCAGTTCGAAAGGTTTTGAAACTGATAATACTGTATTGAGAGAGGTGACAGTTTGGGTACATTTTCAGGACACGAAACAAATGCTATTTTCGAGAGATAACAAGTTTCTCATGTTTCTGACAAAGAGTGATAACGTGTTCTGTGTGGATTTGTCTAGTCGGAAAATCCTATGGAGTACTGATTACAAACTACACTTTTTCCAATCAATGGGATATTCGAATGCAACACTTTTGCTATTAAATCAAAAGTTTATTGTATCAAGAATCAAACATGGAAAGGTAAATTGGAAAGTATACAGTACCGGTCAACAAAATATACAAAAACATATTTTTCAGTAGATTTACGGCGATTTCGACCATTTTTAGCAGTCTGGAACACGGATTACCAGTGTCTGATCTTTTTGAAAATTTTGCAGGATGTATAACAAGCTTAGTTTGAAAACTTAGCATTTACAAATTTCTTTGAATATTCCTAGTTTTCTAGTTTTTTAAAACATTTTTGAATGACACCATTTTTTGCCCGCTGAACTGAAAATAAGGAACAGGTGTCTTTCAGAAATCGGCAGATAGCTGAAAAACTAGAAATTTTCAAAAAAATTTAAGAATGCAAACGTTGCAATCTAGGTTTGTTTTAAACCCTCCAAAATTTTCAAAGTGATCGAAAACTTAATAGCCGAGCTCCAGACTTCTGAAAATGGTCAAAATGACCGAAAATCAACTGAAAAACTCTGATTTGAATATCTTATTAGCAGGTACTGTAGCTTTCAAAGTGGAAAGCAAATTATTTGCAGGATCTTTCCAATGTCAATATGCACGCTTCAGATATTGGGTTTTCCATCACTTCCGAGTTGATTGAAGGTTGTTTTTTTTGTGATTTTTTTGTAACGTAACCTGTCTTCAGTCTGAAATTTTTTTTCGAAAACAATGACGGCTGCTGTAATATTCCCACTTTCAGGCAATAACAACTTTGTTTTCATCACTGCAGACTGTGGGGAACTATTGTGTTCGGCTGCTTCTGCGTTAGATGAACCGTATGTGGTGAAAAGTAAAATTAAGAGAATAAGAATAACTACAGTAAGACAAAAAATGTGGTTAGGGGCCTAGAAAAACGTTTTCAGATAAGAGCGTTTGATGATGAACTGTTAGTTGGATATGAGAATGGGAGTGTTGGAATATTAAAACTAACGCAACAGGTTCCTGAGGATGTCAATGATATTATTTTATGCAATTTCAATGGAGTTATCAACTTGGTAGGAACGTGATCAGAGACTTCTAACTCAAAAATTAAATTCAGAAGTCATTATTGAGAGATATCAATGCAGAGAGGAACCTTATCAAAGAAACAACAGAAAAGTTTCTGGATCTTTTCACTACTCGAACAAACAACGAACTACAACAGATTAAAACGGAATTCGATGAAACCATGAGAAACTACAAAGAACGTGTTAAGGTAAGTAAGAATAACTAGCCAAAAATGAATCAGACTGAATGTTCTCCCTTCAGACGTTTGAAAAAGACTTCAATGAATCGGAGACGATCAAGCAGAAAACGATAGCAAACTTGAAGGGGTTGTACGAGGACGAGAGTACTCATCAGAAGAGAAAATACGAGACGATGATTGAAGATCAAATCAGGAAGTCTTTTCGACAGTTGGAGGAGAAACAGAATGAAGTGTGTGATAGTGGGAATAGGCGAATTGTTCGAGGAGAGGAAAATCTGAAATACCGTAAAAGTTGTAATAGAAGGGCCGAATTTTATATTACAAGAACTCATTAGTTAGAGAAAGAGAGAGAGAGAGAGAGAGAGAGAGAGAGAGAGAGAGAGAGAGTCCTTCTATTTTTCTGGCTACATTCTCCAAATATTTTTTTTTCCATGAATTCGGTGAATTCTACTTTGAAATACATTTACATCTATCAAATTGACTGAAATGCTTCAAGAAATGTCTGTTTAACTTTGGAATTTCCAGAACACTTTTTACTGAAAACGTTTGGAAGGTGACCCACTTATCACAAAGACCCTTTCATTGAAGAGGCCCTTCTAATACAAATTATACAGTATCCGCGCTTTTCAGATAAAAGCTATTAAAGAAGATGCAGAGCGCAAGCATCGAGAAATGATTGGCTCATTTCACATAACCGAAAAACAATTGAACATCCAAGCTGAGAATCATGTGATGGAAATTGAAAATGCAAGTTATCCTGTCCCGAAAAACTTCAAAAGATAAACTAAAAATTTTCAGCTGAAAAAAACAATTAAAGACTTAAAACTTCAAATCATCAAGAAGCACGACGATCTGTCGGCTTTAAGAGAAGAAAAAGAGCAAAACACACTGAAGCTAAAAGAGAACCATAGAGAAGATGCAGAACTTCTAGAAGCAGAAATTTGGGCTCTCAAAGCTACGGTACCTAGAAAATTTTAAAAATTGAGCAAAAGAATGAACATTAAGTGCGTCCAACTCAACGAGCAACGTGATCATATTGGTGATGAGAATATTAAGATCAATTCAATGCTAAGAATTGCAAAACAACAAATTGAGCACATGAGAGACGAGAATAAGCGGCAAGAAGTGGAGGTTCAAAATGTGAGACTTGATTTGAATTTGAATGAGTTAAAACGGAAAAATTGATTTTTTCAGCTCCGAGAAATCATACAGAAACTTCACAACAAGGAAAATGAAATAACAAGAGCGTATACCAAAGTTAAGAAGAACTTCAGTATTCAGACAAAACAATATGATGAATTGGTTCAGCAGGTATTCTGGATAGTTAGACTTTTTTCAAAAAAAAAGTTTTTTTTTCAGAATCATCGATGGAAGCGACGCATGCAAGATTTGGAAGCTCGAATTGAGCAGCTAGCGGGATGTGTCTATGATCCAAGAAGACTGGAACACTCAGTTCTCAGTTTACTTGCGAAATCTCAAAATGTGGATTTAGACAAAAGATACAAGGCGCCAATTTGAACTTTCAATAATTTTCTTCTGTTATGGTACATCATTTACATGACCACAATGAAAAGATCTCTATGAAGAAATAAATGTTTTTATAAGTGAATTGAAGTACTTTCTCTATTATTCATCTTCCATCATAGCCGCTTTCAATTTTTTCTGTTTACTTTTTTCCGGAAACTAAGAAAAAGAGGAAAAGGAAGAAGAAAAACTGTTTCATTCATTCTATCCGAATAAAAAACTTTCCATGATTTTCTTCATTATTGTACTGTTCTCCAAAAGTTATTCAGTTTATAGTAAGTTCACGCTCCTCAATATTTTTGTGTTATTTATAAGTTTTAGGTCAATGTCCCACAAGCCAACTAATTGATGCTGCTTACTTCAGTGCCGAAGTGCCAAGATTGAGAAGTTGACAAGTTTCAGATTTTTCTTTCCAAAATGGTACGATTTTAGAAATGCTTGGAGGTCATACAGATGTGGATATCATTTTCCCAATGTTCAAAGAGGGATCACCATTTGGAGATGTGGTAATTCAATGCCCGTGCGATTTGGAATGCCATGACTTTGATTCCTTTTTTACAAGAGCATGCAGGTTTGAAAAAGTGATTTTTATCACTATTACAGAATTATTCTTAGGTGGCACAACGAGAAAAATGGTTGCTTTGGAACTGGAGATGAGTTGGATTTCATCAGAATGCGTGGAGCATGGGGACGTTCTGGAGAGAGTGCCTTTATGACTAGTGACAAGCCAGGTAATCCAAATTTTTATTTCTAGGTCAACGTTGAGCCCATATATCTCATTTTCTCTGAAGGTATCAAAAAGTGGTCAACAAACAAAATGCTTGAAATAGTATAAAACATATTTTGTCAGTTGACTACTTTTTGATTGTCAACGTCGATGTCGACGTCAAAGATACATAAAGATGAGACATCGATGATGTTTTCTTTTTTGTTATGATGGTTATGATTAAATTCCTTTTATGTTTATATTTGAAATCCTATATAAGAATGGTCATCGCTTTTTGTGATATGCTTGATTTCTTAACTACCAACTCGCAATAAATACATCCTATTCAATCCTATTCGATCCAGTTTCTCCTCAAATACTACGGACAGTATTTGAAATTGATACCTATCAAAAGAACTGTGATAAATTGACTCAAAGTTGAAAGTTAAGCGGCCTTTCTGTTAGGGAGTTTACTGTATACTAACTTGTTTTTGTATTCAGATGGATTTTTCTTGTTGGTTGGTGTTCAACAAAAACTGCCGGAGATGTATTCTGCAATGTTAGTTAGTGATCCAATACAGTGCCAGCAAGGAGATGGAATAGTTCGCTTTCGACATTGGACGTCTCCAGGAGTAAAGATTAGAGTTTGCATCAGGTAATGTCCATTCCGCCGGGAAATTCAGCCGACCGACCGACCACCGACCCCGCTGACCGTTTTCGTGCATTTGCGCGTCAACATGCTAAAGAGTGTTTGCGTTTATTGCATTGTATTTCACGAAAAACTATTCACTAAAGTTCAGCTCGGCTGTCGGTCGGCGGTCGACGATTTTCGACCGACCGAAATGGAAGCCTTAAATGGTTTATCATTTTTGACCGAAAGCCAGTTTTTCAAAACTAACTCTTCTGCTTAGACCCCCATCTCGACGACGATACTACTCTTGGTGTAGTGACCCGGTGAAACGAAAACCAGAAAAATCAGCGGTAGTTGTGATTCCTGGAAGTGTTCTGACAATGTTCGAGGTGAAAACTGTTGTTACTTGAAAAATCATAATTATGGATTCTCAGATAGTCATTGAGGCATACGGTTTCACGCTTGATGCATTTGGAGTTCAAGGGGGAGCAGCCGCCATCGACGATATTTCATATAATACAACGGCGATTTATCAGTGTCAAATGAGTAAGTTAACGTGAGAAATCGCTTTTGTTTTTTTTTCTCGATTTCGCGATAGTTGGATGGGGTTGTTTTGAATTTCAAAGCCAAACTCGCGGAAATACATAAAATCGTTGATCCAACTCTTTTTTCAGGATTCATTTTTTAGACCGGGACATCTTAACTGTCAGAAGTTAAAGACAAAATTATGAAAAAAAAGTCGCATTATGTGCCCTAAACTTCGAGGCTCCGAACATTTATTTTCCTAGACAAAAGTCAGTAAGGTGTCTGGCTAATACAATCAACAAAATAGGCTGCAATCAGAAAAACACATTCCTAGTTGTTCAGGATCATTCAAGCCAAAATTTAGAAATATACCTTACTGGAATTCACTTAAAACAGTCATTACATGCTCTTAATTATTAGGTTGGAAGGAAAGTAAATGTCCATTTTTTGATTCGTGAATAACACAAAAGCAAAAATTATCCAAGATTGACAGTATGCACGGTCGTGGTCCACGACATGTTGACAACATTCAGGCAACTTGTGGATACCGTACCTCCAAAAGCCAGCTGGGCCGTGAAATCAAAGTATACCTTCCCGAACGTTTTTTTTTCTCAGCGACAGTGTAAAATTATTTTCCTTCCAGATGACGTTGAATATCTCCAAATAGCCAATAATAAAACGGTCAAGTCTGGAGTTTAAGGAAAGTGAAGAGCCGTCCATCTAAAGTAGGACTGAATTGAGTTTCATTAAATAACTCGAGAACCTATGTTCCACGGTAAGTCAAGTAAGACCTGGGCCGCTTTAGCTGGACGTTCCTCCTTTACGCACTTCTAACTTCTGATTTGTCCCTTTCATTATTGATTATTAGGAGATATGCAACGTCATCTGGAGGGAAATAATTTAACACTGAAGTTGAGATAAAATCTGGACTCAAAAAATACTTTGAGTCGCAGCCAGCTGGCTGTTGAAGGTATGGTATCCACAAGTTGCCTGAATTTTGTCAACATGTCATGGACCGACGGTGCATACTGTCACTTTTGGATAATTTTTGCTTTTGTGTTATTCACGAATCAAAAAATGGACAGTTACTTTCCTTCCAACCCAATGCCATAAAATTAGCGGATATAGCTAAGAACTCGTTTAAAGATCAGCCTTCCCATTTTCCGAAAAAAAACCTTCAAACTTTCAGTCCCCCACATACCGACACTTCAAAATGTCACAAAGTCCGTGTGCAACGCAATGAAATGTGACTTTGACACTGGCGACTGCTTGAAAAAACTGGGAAAGAAATGGGAGATTAGTGATGAAGCAGTTGGACCAAAGCCCACTGGCATTTTGAAACCTCTCGGTGAGTTCTTGCTCTTTGATCCTCTTTCCAACTTGATGCAAATTGTTCAGAGGGAGAATTTGGATATGTAAATGGACCTGGTGATGCAACACTGTCTCTTGGAAAACTTCAAATTCCAAGAACTTATGGTTTGCAGTTCTGCTATTTCTCGGAATCCATCGGAACTGACTTTGAAGTCATTTTAAGACCAGATGATTCAAAAGAGAAACTAGTGTAAGACTTCTTCTTTGAATTAGCACTTTATGGGGTGTAATGTGTTGGATCTTGCGAGATTTGGGCAAGATATCATCTTTACAGAAGTCTCTCTTTCATTTCAAAAAAAAATTAAACTTCAGATTGTACAATGTCACTTCGGTTGACCGATTTTCTCAAGAATGGCAATGCAAACGAGTTTTCCTGTCCGTGAATGGAACCGTGAGTAACACGAGACTCCAACTTGTCCTTTGAATTGGTTTTTTTCAGATCGACTTCTCCGTACGAAACCTTCGTAATAAGTTCTCCTATTTTGGCCTCGACCAGATAGACTTGTTTGATCCGCTAACAAGTGCTTCAGCTTGCGATTTTTGATCTGAAGTGTGTACTTCTAAATATATTTTCTTTATATATTTTTATGTGTCGTTTGAGTAAATAATTCTATTTTCTTTTTTGAACTGGTTACTTGTTTCTGGAACCGCTACACAGCTCTAAAGTGCACCGTGCTCTTCATATTCAAACAAATTGTATAAATATATTCCTTTTACAATGTAAACAAATAAAACACACGAATTTTTTCCCTCGTCGTTGCCCAATGACTAATTTCTCTAAAAATTTTTGAAAAAAAAACATGTTCCGTCATATTATAGTTAACAATACCGAGAATCGATATTCAAATGTTATCGCTCTGTTATTCAGTTATTTCTTCCTGTTTTGTTCTGTTTTTGGGTTTTTAGATAGGAATATTCTCTCTCTTGCAGAGAGAAATATTTTCGGTTGAATAGAGAGAAGATAAGACCCATGAATCATTCATTTTTCTGTCGGTTTGGTTCCTTTTGATCTTCATGCTCTTTTTCTGGCTAACAAAAGGGCATCGTCGGATTAATATGATCAAATCCGAGGGCTTGGTTCAGAGTGGCACTTGTGACTAACCAGATTCGGAAATTAGATTGCGTGGTACCCCGAATTTTCTATTATAGATTTTCTGATACTTCGTTTAACTAAATTGCTGACTGTTTGCTAAGGTGTATGTTTTTGAAATGTACGCGCCTGCTTATCGCAAAATAAAAAACTCAAATGTCTGTAAATAGAACTTTACGATGAAGAAATAAAAATATATTCAAAACAACTCAAAAATTCAATCTTTCTCATAGAATAACAACTTTTCTTCTCCTGAAAAAAATATTCTCAGAACGTTTCTCATTTTCTCTCACCATTTCGGAACAAGTTTCGCCGACCAAAAGAACATTTCGCCCATTTTTCCTATATTTTTTTCAATTCATTTCTCCTTTTTTTTCAGTTTATGACTTTCATTTCTTCTCCTAATTCCGCTCTTCTCAAATTGATTCTCGTCAGTAGCAGCAAAAATAACAACGTTGTCCTTCCTGTTTCAATTGGGTACATCAGTCCAATACGACGCAAGGCATATGTGTGTGAGAGGGGCGCGCGCAGCATAGTAGTCCACGCCGAAACATTCGTCCACTACGTCATGTGGTTCCGAAAACACACTCGGCGGGGCGCACTTGCATTATAATCAGCTGACGGGGGGTGACCCTCGGCCCAAGTGTACCAAACCCCGTAGACAGAACCGCTCATTATGGGCGTTCGTTTTCTTACAATTCGTTTTGTTATTGTATGTGTGTTTATCTCTCGGCCCCTCATACACACACACAAATAGAGCGACTGCGCATTCCTCCGTTATTATTGATTTTTTTGGTTGGTGTGTCTTCCTTGCCCAGCCTCCGCTCTTACTTTTTCTTTTGTCTTTTTTCTTTTTCGTAGTTTTTCCTCAATTTTCCACTGATAATTATACTACAAATCGCTGATAACGCTACTCCCTTTTCCACGAATTTCACGAAACAAAAACCTCCCACTCATTTTCAGTTGGTATGTCAAAAAAAGGACGGAATGCATTACAAAGTGTCAGTTTACTGGTCTTCTTTGGAGTTTATCAATGCAGTGCTCAATATGTGGTCGACGTTGTGAGTTTAAGGAACTAATATAGTTAATTCTGAAATTTCTCATTAATTCTGGAAATTTCCAGATGAGAATGACATCATCATTCGGCGAAGAAGAATTAGTGCATAAATGTGCGGCGACAGGTGGAAACTTCGGTTTGGATGTCGGCGAATTCATCATCAGCGAGAATAACTTGGGCTGTGGAGTTGGTGTCGAGCCAGCCGACGCTTGTGGACCAATTAGGGTGAGTTTCTTGTTATCAGAAAAATTTTGACTGGGCAAATTACTTGGATAGCGGTTTGTAACTTTTGGTGTTAAGAGGTATTTGGCTTTTGGACAGATGTTGGTGATGTTCTGGTTGGAATTCGCGCAAAACGGTTGGCTTTAATCAGATTTTGGACACAATTTGAAAGTTGAAATACTACCGGAGCCTTTTCATAAGTTCGTCGGAGTTCGGCCTGTTTTAGTAGCAACCTTATCCGTAACCTGATTAATTTTTGATTAGAAGTCGCCGGCGACGTTCGTGTAGCTCAAGTTATTTACAAGATCGATCGAAAAAATTCATGTTCTTAATTCTCCGTTGTCTGAATACTTGGAAATCGCCCGTTTCTGGGTTCAAAAATTTGACAAAGAGAACAACGCGCCATTTTTTCGATCTTCTTGATACCAAACAGAAGTCGTACTCAAATTTCAGCCCCAAAACATGACGTGTAGTTCCAGCAATTTCTTCAAAAAATGAAAAATGATATACTTCTCATATACAATTCGATTCCGAAACCATCGCTTTCTCAGAACGGATAGCTTTAGCAGCTCGTATAGTCCGTGGTATACAAAAAAAACCATAAAATTTCTTGCACTGCCCAATCTTCATCAAAAATGGCAAGTGGGCCATAACCGTTGGCTCTGAAAAAATTTTAAACCAAAATCCATTGGTTTTTGTTAGATTAATTCTCTGCAGTCTCTTTACAACGCGTGGTTGGATGAAATGAACAGAAGCAGAAAAAAAAACGAAAAGGATTCGCTGACTCGACCATATTGAATTATTTTCTTTTTCTGTGCTCAGCCAAAATCACGATCTAGTAAGAGTGAGATTTTCAAGCATCAGCTTCATTAGGGAATTTTTGTTTTCGTAGACAGTAATGAGTACCCTTCGTAGACATATCTGGCTAGTTATTCGAATCAAAATCTTTCTCAATCTGAACAATTTTCATTTTAAGAATATATAGGTATTTTATGAACACAAACTCTTCCAATCATTTTCATAATTTTCCGGAACTTTTCAATCATCTAACCCTGTAATAATAATTCTATTATCCCCTTGTGAACCATCTAAAACCGGAAACGCATCACATGTGCTTTGGCATTTTTGACTCTCGGGGTTGTCGAAAAGTCACAAAACCAGTTCCCAGACAGTCTAGAGAAAGAGAGACGAATATTATTTTCATCTGTTCACCGAAATCGGTGAGGCGGAAGGGTCAGTATGGAAATCAAAGTTCCTGGCAGGATCAGTATGGCATAATCAATTTACCACCAGGAACTGATTCTTTTTTGTTCGCGTCTGTCTCCACCTTTTTTCCTTTTCTCAGGCTAACGGTGATTCATAAGAATTTCACATGCTCTCCTTAAAACGACTTAAGTTTAATCACTCAAAATTTTCATTTTCATTTTTTTCAGATATCCCAAAACCACACCACAAAATGCCACAATCTGTTTGCATTCGTCTCCCGTAGTAACTATGCCCACCCGTGCAAGTTTTCACATCAGGCGTTTATGGTCCAAAACTCGACATATCCATTTCGATTAGTGATTTTCTACAATTATCCGGGGCAGGATCCAATTTCCATGGAAGGTACCGAACTACGTGACAAAGTCTACTTACCGGTTCTAATGATTTCTCATGCGTGCAAAGAAGAAATTGTGAAGAAGTATTCGGATGCGGCGGGGTAATTTAAAAAAGGCCATCTTACTCATCAAAACCTATCATTTCAGATATCGCCTACGCGTTCGCATCGATCCAGGCTACTATGAGCTGTTTCGCTATTTGATTCCATTTCTTGTGGTTATTGTGTTCTGCTTCGCTCTTTTCCTTATTACACTGGTGAGTTGAAATCGAGCGAAATGCTCGGGTTGGGGGATATAAATCTTGGTGGCGGAGGGCAATCGAAGGTCTTGACGTCAACATTGATCGAGGTTCTAACACATTACAATAAAAATTTCTCCGCCTTCAGGGATGAAAAACCATTTTTAAATTTTTCTTTGATTTCAAGAATTCAAACAATTTCCAAAAAATTGAAAAAAAGCACAAAAAAATGCTCGACCTTCTCATCCTGGTAAGAGAGGGCTTCCTCTACCCCATTGCATAGATTGGGTGACTAACCTTATTTGTCAGGTTTAGTCACATTCCCATGTTCTTTTGGACTGGAGAAATTACTTTAACTAATCTCAAATTATTCAGTGCGTCCGTGCTTGTGTGGAAAGGAGGAAGTTGAACAAGAGACGTCTTTCGAAACGGAATCTCAAGAAGATTCCAGTCAAGAAATATCGATTAGGTGATGATCCGGACACGTGTGCCATTTGTCTGGAGAGCTTTGCTCCTGGAGAAAAGCTTCGTCATTTGCCGTGTAGGCATGGTAAGAGGACAATATACAGTAATGGTCCATGAGATATTCAGAAACTTGATTTTCAAATGATTTTGGCCATATACAAAGGAGTCTGGAGCTCGGCTGTCCTGACCACTTTGAAAATTTTGGAGGGTGTGAAACAGGCCTAGATTGAAAATTTTGCATTTACGAAGATTTTTCCAAAATCCTTAGTAGTTTTTCAGCAATTTGCTGATTTCTGAAGAAAACCTTTTTTTCAAGTTTTCAGTACAAAAATAGGTGAAGGAGAGGCGTTTTTCAGAAATCAGCTGAAAAACTAGGAATTTTCAAAAAAATCTGTGAATGCAAAGTTTCCAATTTAGGTCTATTTTACTATCTGAAATTTTCAGAATGATTGAACTTGACAGCCGAGCTCTAGACTCCGCAAGATCGTCAAAATGATAAAAAACAACTGAAGCTTAGCTTTGTATATCTTGCAGACCGAAACTGTATATCACTACAGTAAGACTTGGATTCAAGTCCTTTTTTTTTTTAGTATTCCATTGCAACTGCATCGACGTGTGGTTGACGCAAACACGCAAGATTTGTCCTCTGTGCAAGAGGAAAATCGGATCCGACTCGGACAGCGAGTGTTCGGCAAGCGACTTGGCCAGCACGTCACAAGCCCCAAACGATTCACTCGCCTTATACAGTCATTCTCACGATCAGTCGGGATTTGACGAGCTCCCGGTTCCGTCTGGACCGATGCTGGACTTGTGGAGCTCTCAGGAAGCATTGGTCGATCAGGATATCGTGGTAAGAGTTTTACTTTATTTCCTTCCAGTTCCTGGTAGAACAGATGTCTTATTAATCGAATTTCTTAAAGGAACAAAGTTATCAGACAACAAAAAACAATAATTTTCTTTCTGATTAATATAATTTCCCGTTTTCCAACCCGATGATTTCCAGCTGCTCAACACCACTCGTCAAACGATCTCTGGATTCCTTCGTAACGCTTTCCGCCGTCTCAGACGTCGCTCGCAACAATCGGGTACTACTGTCCAAAATCAAGCAGGACTGGAACACGGATCCTTTCTTGTCAGGCAAGAACCTCGAGCGGCCGATAGTGATCATTTATTGGAAAATGATGTGTATGTTGCTAGCTATCAAACTGAACTCATTTTTTTCTGTTTTCCAGCGATTCATTAGCCAGCTCTGAACTCAACCCTCCGCCCTCTCCAGAAATTACCGTTTCAAGCTCAGCCCTCTCATCTCAAAGTACGGATACCGACACTACTGAAATGTCTTCAAGTCCTACATCTCAAACTTGTCAATAATGTTTTTCCATTTTGTCATCATGCATCATACTTGTTTTATATCTTGTCAATTCTTCCAAAGGATAGTCTAACTTTCACGATTCAGCACCCAAACCCCCGCCACCCCAACCCTAAACACAACCCGTAAATCTCTGTCACCATGTACACTCCGGTTAATTTTTTCCTCGATGCTAAAAAGTGATTTTCATTTTTCAACCCCACCGAATACTAGTCATACTAACCTTTTGCCTTTTACCGCCTAAGCGTTCACTTTATCAACCATTTTGCTATCAGTAGCAACCGCTGCACATATTTTTGCTACATCAATTCTTGTTTCATGTCTGTAAATCAAACGAGGAACCTCTCCCGACTCTTGCAACACTAGTCACCTTTCTCTCATATTCGTCTCTTTCATCGCCAGTGATCAAAAAGAATTCTGTAAAATGAATCATTGTGAAATAGAACAGTTGTTTTTGTTTGCAGGAATTTCAGAAGTTATTTCAAAAACCTCATTCAGGTTCATGATCAGCTTTTGAACAGGAAGGTTTCATCAAAATCACAAAATGTAATATTATTGAAAACTATTCGAGATTCATACATCTTGTAAAAGTGTTTTCCGGATTCTACACAATGACAAAAGTAAATTTTTAAAACGAGAGATCAAGGGCAATTTTTTAGGAAATTTGATTCTGATGAAAACGTTTATTATTTGGACTACGATTTTAAAGATTTCAGTTAGCTCAATGAATTTTTTCGAACATACGGCTCGGTTTTTGTATGAGAGCCCAAACATTATTAGGCTGGTAGAGTACTGTAGTTACATTCTCTCAAGAAAAAATTCTACAAAGAAACCTTAACACCTGGAAAACCCAGATTTTTATAGTCGTGGAAAATTTCGAAAATTGAAAAAAATAAATTTTCCGAGAAAATGTTTAAATTATGAAATTTCGTTCACTTTTAAGAATATTACAACGCATTTCATATTCTGAAACTTTGCAATTGCTGTTTAGCACTGAAAAGGTGATTTGTGGTACCGAATCTGATGTAACCTGGCTGAAACTGGAGAACGGAAAATTTGAATTTAGAAGGTGTTGAGGTTCCCTTGTTCGTGAAACTGAAATTATTTACCAATTAAGATAGAAAATGTGGCTATTCAAAACTACAGAAGAAGCATTAACTCACAAAACGACGGTTTGGAAAGTCAACACATTGCAAAAATTTTTCAGATTCGATTTTAAAAATCGGGGGAAGCTCGAAACTTTGTCTGTCGGTTTATCAAAGGATGAAGTCATTTTTAGGTGAATTCTCAGTTTTTTAACTTAAAAGTCGTTTTATTTTATTAATTGACCAAACACTTATTCGTTCACAATCGGAATGTGGCAATCAAATACAAATAAATGAATTTAAAATTTAGTTATTTTCAGAAAGCTCTGATATTTTCATTATTGAGGTCATGCAATAAATGTGAGATATGTTACGCGTTTTAAGTTTAAAATTAATTAGGATTTGAGAAATTAAATAAATCGACTTTTTTAAAATTTGGAAAGTGACTTTATGATTTAGTGCTTATTTCACGCACTGCAATCAATATTTCCTTATCTTATTTTGAGAAGAAACCAAAAGTTTTTTGAGAACTTAGCTATTTCACCGTTTTCCACGTTTTTCAACAATCTCGAAAAATGCTCCGTCTGCCATTCATAAAGTGGAGGATTTTCCGACTTTTCCGAAAAAATCCAGTCTGGGCCATTTAAAATCTTTTCATCAAACCGGGTTAGTGAGAAAACCGATGAGGAAAGTTCATGAGAACGTCGAACCTATAACCATAGAGTGAAAGTTTTCGCACGGCTTCTGTTTATTCTTTCAACCGTCTTTTGAACATTTACAATGCTTTCCTTCAGCTCTTTTAAAGATTAATTACAGCTTACTAAAAGTTTCTCGAAACATTTTGATTCATGAACTGATTAGAACCATTGTTGTAGTGTTTCACTTTCTCATCATCTCGTAAAAGATTATTCGAAAAGATTAACCTCTTCTCCGTTTGGTCACTAAAATCACTAGCCACCCCCACCGGCAACATAGGAGATGCCCCGCTTTGTTGCTGGGGATTAGTGCACTCTGGAAGAGAAAACTGACATTTTTTGTGCTATCTGACTAACTAATCCGCCTCAATTAATCTCAGATGTGAGGGTGGAAACAAAAAAAAGCGGGATGGCATTCACAGAGAATTTTTATCAGAAATGCGACGGCGAGTAGCCATGAAATGAAGAGATTAATAGAGGGGATTAATTGGATGATAAAAGGGAAGGCGATCCAGGAGACATCAGTTATTCATTCTACAAATCATTTTGTACTCCTTACTACTGATCCGCTTTTCTTCTTGCAGAAGATTATTCTTTCTGGCTGTTCGGCTAGCACAAGTTCTCTTGTCCCAAGTCAATGAGGTTAATTTTCATTTCTTTTTTTTATGTTTCTATTTTTTTAGCTACTGTAATTTCAAAATACTTGTTTGAAAAAAAATTGAGACTTCAAAATAACTTTAGTTCTGAGAAAAATCAATGTTTTCTTTAAAGTTGATCCGGATTCAATTGTTTTTAAACGGTTCTCAATGAGAAATTCCGCATGGTTTATTATTTCATTCTAAAGAACTTACTACGCCAAATCTGCAAGCGTTCTAAATAAAAAGCGAGCAACTTTTTTTTATTGTTTGGGATGTTAAATCATACATAATACATAAAATTTTTATTTATATCTAAATATTCAATTTTTAGAACGGACCCAACCATGGATCCAAACACGAACCTCAGCAACGTTTTCGATTTCCCGGATCTTCCAATGGCTCTACCAAAAATTGAAATTCCCGATACTCCCGAATTCCCGATGCACTCACCTTCTCTCGATCTTCAACACTTCGATCCGCCGCGCAATCTGGTCCCACATCTTGCACGTCGTTGGAGCTGCGACGACTCAAAGCATGCGGTCGACGAACTGCCCGCCTCCTACTACCATAACCTCGGGTTCGCTCTGCATAACCACATTCAAATGTCGAATCAGCGTTATTTATCGGATTTTAATTGTCCTTCAACGGTTTCAACAATCCCATCTGCACACGATTCGGGCCAACTTCCACCATTGTCTCCGTACGATCATATTGGTGTTCAGGATCCGCATTTGTTCTCGTCTCATGCTTATGGTAATTCGAGTAAGTTGAAATCACTAAACTACGTTTTATTATTTATTCATTTTTCAGTGATTCCAGACAGCTCATATTTCGATAATGGCTCTCGCTCGATATCTGCACCAACCATTGGAAATCCAGGTAATCTAATAAAATCATTTTCTTTCTCTTTTTCTGAAAGGTTCCTAGAATTTTTTCAACGATTGCTAATCTTTTTAAAAGATTAACAAATCTGCTCTCCCGATCCTTTTTACTTGGTTATTTTACAACTAAAACTTGTAAAAGGGATTACCCGAAGCAGATCAATTGTTAATAAATTAATCTGGTGTGGGTGAGGATTAGGTATTGATATCTGACCTGAAGAAATCGTTCATGAGTGCAATTTTTAGAAGAGTGAACTATAGTCACAGTCTAGCAAAAAATTTATTCATGAAAATTGCAAACAGTGACATTTTTTGAATTCAATTCCGTAAAACCTGAAATAGATGGACCCCCACACTGTGAAGTTTGTGATTAACTATCTCGGTTCCTATCAGAGATTTGAAAAAAAATTGGCAACTGATAAAATGTTTGCGATATCATGATAAACAATTTGTCAGTTGACATTTTTTAAATATCTCGAAACCAAGATAAACTGGCTCAAAGTTGAAAGTTGGGGTGCCCTTCGGTTTCACGGTATATAGCATTTGATAAATTTAATTTTACCAAAAACTGTTTGTATCTTGTGATGTATTAACAATAACAACAACAATTAACTTCTAACAATTAACTTGACATGTCCCTTTTACAAATTTCAAAAAAAATTATTTGTCAGCAACCTTCAGTAAATATTTTCAGTCATTATATCTTCGGCAATGTCGAGTGGCAACTCTCAATCGTGTGGTGGAAAACGGCGATTCCGTACCAATTTCACAGAGCACCAATCCTTATTCCTCGAAGACTCATTCAAGGAGTCACACTACCCGGACCACAAAGCCAAGCGTCACATGGCTGATTTTCTCAACATTCCTGAAGATCGCATCACAGTAAGCCTTGATTTTTATTCGATGACACATCCGAGGGCTTCTCTCTTCTCGTCACTAAAAAAATGATAAGAAGATAGGGTAAAAATCATTTTTTAATACCAGCTCAGGAAGAGATTACATCCGTGATCCATTTAGACTGAAGAACACTGCTTCTGATCAAAAATTCATTTTTTGTTGATAACTGATAGAAAACCACTTTTCGAGAACTTGAAATGAAATACAACCTGTCATAAAATAATTGTTGATCCACCAAGTCTCCTACAGTAGTCGAATTTCCTCCCTGACGTATGCTATCCACATGTGCGCTCAACTCTCGAGTTGCAATTTACGATCAACTATTTGTCACAAGTGAATGGGGGGGAAGAAGACGCTATTGCGAGAGTTTGAGAAATTGCTGTGAATATGTAGAAACAATGACAAGATACTAGAGAGTAATGCAATTCCAAAATTCGATATATGAATTTTCACAAATTTCTTGCATGAACATCCTGTTTCTATACGGAAACCGTGGAAAACAGGTGTCATTCCAAAATCGGAATTTTTGAATGAAAATAATAGCATTTTCTGAAAATTCCTAGTTTTTCAGCTATCTACCGATTTCCTGAAAAATCAACATTTTTGCAAATGCAAAGTTTTTAGCCTAGGTCTGTTTTACACCCTCCTAAACTTTCAAACTGATTGCAAACTTGACTACCAAAGTCTAATCTCATGAAAATGGTCAAAATAGCCAGAATATAGCTGAAAAAGAACGTTTTATATCGTTTGACATATACATACTTGCAACAGTCGGGGCTGATCTTTTCTCCCAGAATTTTTGCGGTGCGAGGTAAAAAACCGAGTGTCAATAAAAACAATTTTTTGAAAAATAAACTAAAAGTTCTCTGGAATTTGTTTTCGAATCAAATAATAAATAGACTTACAAATCTACGGCCCAACTGGTTCCTAACATTCTAGTACGAAAAAAAACTTCTGCAATTTCCAGGTTTGGTTCCAAAACCGCCGTGCCAAATGGCGAAGAAAGGAGCACCGTCAAAGGGATCACAACCGCAGCACTGAGACATTCTCAAATACTCCAAACACGTCGTTTGACTATCCATGCTTCGCCGGGCACTCAAACCAAGAAGCTGATGTTAAGCCTATGCCAGGTATATATCCAGATCCAGCACAACAGGTTGGCAATTAGCGAATTTCTCTTCGAAAATCCATTTTTCATGATTAAAATTCTTTCAGGGTTCCCATGATCAATTCCAATTGCCACCATTGTCCAATGCCACCGCTGCCTTTTTGAAGAACCTTGACTGAGCGTTTTCAATTTTTTCAAATTTTTTTTTTCAATTAAAAATTAATATATGCCTATTTTTCCTTTTCTCATTTTATTTGGTTTTTTCTGTAACTCTTTTTGATTCCAATTCTTTCTCAAGAAATTGAATTAGAAATTTTTCCGGTAACTGTTATACAGCTTATATGCCTATTTGTGTTTTCTATTTTGAAATTCCATAATATATATTATTTTAATTTCTGTTATTTGGATTAATTCGTCTTATGTGCTTATTCTAGATTTGCCATATCAGTGTTAGTCATTTCATTCATAATAATAATAAAAATCGATAAAATATTTATTAGAATAAGTATGAGTACCATTGGAAGAGATCAGTGAACTTTCACATAGTCGGAAAAAAACGAATCATCAGAAGAATCAATCGCTGTGGAGCCATAAGGAAATTTGGTTGGGTAGCAACCCGTAGAAGCTCTTTTGGCAAATAAGGTGTGGTTTTAAAAGGAAAGTGATTTGTTTGGTATTAAGGGAGAACATGATAAATTTATCAAATAAGTTCTAAAAGTTGAGAGATTGGAAATGAAGGTCATTGAACATCACATGAAAGTTATTTGAAGCATTTTTTGGGTTTTTTGATTTTTTTTAGGATTTCGTGGGAACCGAGTATATTTGCTTGTCACTGCTGTTAGCCTGAAAAGAATAATTCAGATTGTGGTTTTTTTAATTTTAGTATATTGGAATTACCTGTTCCTGGGACTCGATATTCTCACTTTCGATTTTCTTGGTTCCATTCAACTCCTCCATAGGTACTCCGTTTTTTGTGGCATTTCGAGTTTCCGGAACATAGGTTCTTTCAGTTTCGAAACGGTTCCTAGATCTGGAAATAAATTTTAATCAGCTTGCGAAATATTTTTTTAATTAACTCACTTGAAAAATTCAAATGGCACTTTTGAAAGCTGTCTTTTCAGTGCTCCTTGGATTTCACTATTCAGGAAGCAGTAGAGAACCGCAATGAAGATTCCCTGTAAAACAAAATATTGACTCGTGTCTTTCTCTCATGTTTCTCACCTGACTATGCTGTAAGATAGCTGAGCCGAGCATGTAGACAGAGCTCGGGTGCTCGGGCTCATAAAAAAGAGGGATGTTTGAAACTCCGAGAAGTGGCACCAACAGAAGCGTTGCTTTTATTGTTCTCCTGAAAAGATATTATGAGTTTTTCGAAATGATCTGGTTTGACAGGAAATGTCACATTAAGTTGAGTGATTTGATTTTTGAATGGGACCAAAGGACTAACCAAATCTTTTTGGATTCCGCCGAGTTTTCTGTTCTCAACTTTTGAACCAATATCACAACAATCATGAGCAGGAATATTAAATTCATCTGAAACCAAAAACATTTATCAAATTATAAGGTATCAAGCACTTACAATCCACGCGGTTCCCATTGTCCCTGTCAGAATCCACAAATGATTACCCTGGGCATACGGTACCCAGCAGAAGGAGTTGGGGAGCTGACTGGACTTATACTGGTGGACGATGGTCCAAGCAGAGACTACCACGAATGGAAAACCCCATCCACAAGCGAGATACAGCGACCATGGTGCATCACTGTGTCGCATCGCAAATACAGTAAACCGACTGTAAAGGAATGCTCCCTCTATTAGCATCCACATGACGGATGCAACTTGGAAATAGATAACAAACCATAGGATTGTTTTGCAGATCCATTCCTGTAATTTTATATTCAAAATCAATGGTTGGATTTTCAAGTTTTACCAAGTCCCATATCGGTAGAGGATGAAACCGAGTGCAGTCTTGGAACAGGTTGGTGGATTGTACAATGGTCCAAATCGCTAGAACAGCGAATCGGAACACGAAAGCGGTTGCCAGATTTTTATGAATAGATAACCTCCGGCACTGAAAAATAGAAAAACGAAGCTCATAATTGATTTACGTCATTTGACAGCATACCTGAATAGAATCGAAAACTGAGAATAAAATGATTGCTGCCACGAGTAATATCACGGAGACTATCGATAACGTTAAAGACACTGATATCACCATATCTCGAAGAAAGTCGGGACACTGAACATTAGCTATTTGGTTTTTTAGTGTAGGTAAAAGATACATACAACTCTACAGAATCCTGATAAGCATTGTGAGTATTCTTCTGCTACTTTGATGCACATGGTGTAGTTCGTGTCTTGCCATACACCCTGGTTGTTGCAATTTCTCGATACCATGTACTTTTCTGAAATTATTGAAATGAAAAAGAAATGTTTGTGACTTGTATTGTTTCTGTATAATCTACATTTTGTACAGTACCGGTCAATAAGGTATACAATAAGGTGTTTTTCAGTTGGACGTCGGTCATTTCGACCATTTTCAGGAGTTCGAAGCTCGGCTCTCAAGATCCGATCACTTTGAAATTTTGGAGGGTGTACAACGGACTTGAATTGAAAACTTTAGATTCCCAAAATTTTGAAAAATCCCTTTTTTCAGTTTTTTTGCCGATTTCTGAAAGATACGTTTTCACCTTTTTTAGTAAAAAGGGAAACCAGTTTTCAGTTTAGGACTGTTTTACAGCCTCAACAATTTTCAAATTGATTGGAAACTTAGCTGCTTGCAGACTCCTGAAATTACTGTATTTATATATAGCGTACTGTATTTATATATAACTGTACTGTATTTATATATAGCGGTTTTTCAAGAATCCTTGTCACCTCTTTTCATCAAGAATGTATTGTTTTGAGCCGCGCTTCTAGTCCTAGTCACCCTAGATTTATTGGTATCATTATGCCCCCATTTGTGACCCTCTTGAGCCTCAAGACCACTACTTTTCCCTCTTACCCACATTAAACTCACTTCCTCTTTTTTTTGCGGTTTGCGTAACGCAACAATAGTTTCTGTGTTTCTTCAGGGAATTACCATAGTTTACTAGTCATGTATTCAAGAATTATGTTCGCGCGTGCCGCTTCTTTGTTCTTCCTCTCCCCTTGTATTTTCAAAATTCTGCCTCTCTTACACAATTGTTGTACAAAATTCCAAAAGAAGAGAGCACGTCAGAAAAAACGGAAAATAAGCGAGAGGAAAAAGTTTTGAGTGTTGCGTGTTTTTTTTTGTTTTTCGCACTAGAGCTGCCGCTCCGGAAGCATCGAGGCGTTGGCGTCGAGTTTGATGAATGACTGAGATAAAAGTATCACCACAGAAAGAGGCGAAAAACGCTTCTTTTCCGAATTTTTAAGAATCCATCGGCTTAAAAATGAAAAGGCAACGCATTTCGTGGTTTGACGTGTGTTCCCAGTAACTGTAGCGGGTTCCTGATGCATTTTTATAAATGACCCAGATCAGTTTGGATGGATGACAGTGCTTATGGCAAAAAAACTGAAAAGGAGGAAAAGTCCAGAGCAAGGACGTTGAAGTGTTGCGAGAGAGAAAGATCACAGATCAACAAGAGGAAATTGAAAACATTTCCTTTGTTTAGTAGTAGGGGAATTGGTTTAAAGGCTATTTTGGGATCAGTGAAGTTTCGAACTTACAAGCGATTCGTAGAAAAACTAGGTCTAAGCTTCTAGAAGTAAAGATTGAATTTAATTAAATTTCATGTTTAATGAAGACTAGATTTACATCGTTGTTGGACTAAAATGATACTGTTTCTGGATACAGTAGCTTCTAGAATGATTACAGCAATCTAATTTCTTAAGTTCATGGTCTAGTATCTTACCTTTGATATCCTCGCATCCTGGTATAGAAGTGCAGAATTTGAAAGGGCAGTCTCTGGTCATCTGCTGTCCTAACCGTGCACTTGCCCAACATAACGACCTGTCGAAGTCTACTGAGCATCCGCTGCTGAAATACGAAGAACTGTGAACATATAGTTGTTTTTAGAACATACCCAGTGTAGGAGTTGTTCTGAGCTTTCAACTTTTCACAGGCCTCATACTCGGTTTGTATGATACTTGTCATTGGGGCAACAAGTTTCTGGAATGACGTTTGTTAGAATTCATTTTCGATGTTTGGGAAAACGAATAAAAAGCGAGAGTAGTGGAATATGACACTGGAAGTGACAATAACACACGTCGAGTTCATAGTCGTGATGGCAAACGAAGCGGTGTCCGAAGATGGGTGGAGAAAAAAGGCAGAGAAGGATGCTTCCTCGCCGGAGCAAAGGAGTGTCGGAAACGATGGGTTGAGGAAGGGAGGGGAGGAAAAAAAACTATTTTTATTTTAGTGACAAGAAGAAAAAAGAAGAGCAAAAAAGAGTGAATAAAACAAGTAATTGTGCGGGGTCGACCGACCCTGAATGAAAATTGAGCCGTTAGTAGTAGCACCATTGAGATCTGTGAGAAAACAAAGAGCAGCAGAGCTTTCCATGGTTTTCCAGATTTTTGAAAAGATTTTCAAAGGATCTAGTGAGCGATGTTTTTCATTTGTAAGCAAGAGTTGGGTAAGGCCCAGTGAAAACTTGAGAATTAGGAATCATGATATTAAATAGAAACAGGTAACAAGTGGAATCTAATGTCGGCTGTCGGCTAGTAAATTCTAATCAGAAGTTATAGAAGTTTGGCTTTTGAACAGATATTGGTCAGGTTAAGGTCGGAGCTTCAGTCCGGTCGGAAGTTGACATTTGAAAATTTGGTCATTCGAAATAATGTGCTACAGTATCTAACAAATTGAAAAGTGCATTTTGGTTACCTGAGCACTACTGTAAGAACTTGAGCAGTAGAGGTGATCTCGATGTATATAAGCAGTCGAGGGGTTAAACACAACTAGTTGGCAAGCAAAAGTGTCATATACAGTCAGGAAGATTTCTGAAGTGAAATAACTTTTTTTTGAGTTAGAAGCTCTAAATAATATAAAAGAACATATATCGAAAATCGAGAATCAAGTCAGCGAAAATCTTATTTTATAGCTTATACAAGAATAGTTCAATTCCAGGTACCGTCCACCCTGTAATAAACGAGCTTCCTTAATTTTAACATTGAGCCAATTTATCTCAGTTCTTGTGAAAGATATTGAAAAGTTGTAAACTGATAAAATGTTAATCATGATATCCGTAACATTTTAAACTGTATACGTTCGAAAATTCGGACCCAACAAAAAAGTTATGCGTAACAAAACCTATAGATAACCTACTTGAAAAAAGAGAACAAGTTTTTTGCCTGCCCTCACGCCCACCCCCCAAAATAGAATTGAAAATGGCACAAAGAGCACGGAACTGGAATACATAGCCTCCGGTTTTGTCTCCTCCCTTTTTTCGGTTTCTGTCTCTTCCTAAAAAAAACTTCAAAGTATTTTGAAGTGGTGAAGGGGGAAGAAAGGATTACACGCCTCAACTGCCAGATCATATGGGTCTCATGGTTCCTCTATACCTCCTTTCGGGGTGTTGTGGGGTCTCAAAAAGACAAAAAGAAACAAACTACACTCATCAGAAAGCTTCTAGAATGATTCTAATTTCGCTCAAAACTAGGCATTCACAACTACAGCAATAAAAATGAAACTCGAGTTGGCGACAAGAAGAGGCTCAAACACCAATTGGAATTGAGGGAGAACCAATTGGTACGGTTGGAATTTTTATTTGAAAAGAGAGGGAGGGGAACTCTAGAATTAAACTGAACTTTTTGTCAAAGGCCTTGTCCAATAGACAAGTGAGAGAACACGACAGCTGTTGGGTTCAAATGTTTATTCCATTGGTTGTTGCTCTTTTGAAACAAATGGACTCTCTATGTTAAATGTAAATCATCAAATTGCTCGACAACTGACATTTTTAATTGAAAATTAATTCTTTTAGAAATTCAAAACTTAAAATAGAGAGTTCGGGGACTACTTGCCAGGGATCCATTTCAGAGTCTGGACCACTAGAATCCTCACAAATAACCGTCCTAAATAACAGCTCTTTTGAAATGGGAACCTAATATCTCTTCTCGTTTTTTAAGATTTCCAGGATTCTTTTTTCCATCTTTCCTTTTTATTTCAGTTTGTTTTCCTTTCCACTTTCTTTTCCTTTCTTTTCTTACAAACCGGTGGCGTCTGGTGTGAGGAAAAACGACGAAGGCGAAATTCGCCACCAACCATGTTTTTTTCAGAAAGATGGAAAAAACTAAAAAAGAAAAAGAAAATAAAAAAGACTTTAAAAAAATAAATTTTCAGCGTGTGGGCCGTTGTTTTCGATGAAAAGTTTTTGAGCCATCAAGACTACTCTTAAATAGGAGGTACGGTAGGTGACAACGTGAGAAATGAGAAGGAAAGTAAAAACACCATAAACTGAACTTTCGAAACAAGTTTTACAACCGATTTCGACAGTTGAAGATCCTTTAATTGTGGCGAAATAAAGCAATTTTGAGAATCAAAGATTGGTAGGCAACTAAAACACAAAATAAAACAAAATGTTTATAAAATTGTTTGGTTTTTGATCAATCAGCAACTGTTTATAGCTCTGATTACGTTCTTAGATCAAATAACAAATCAATATACACCGCAAAATCCCAAAAATCTAATGCCAGACTCAGTTACTATGATTAAATCTGACAAAAAACAAATTAGTAGCTGGAAACGCGCGACAATATCATTTCTTAATTATGGGGGGGGGGGGGGGGGGTTTCCCAGAACAGCTATGACGATGGGGTATGATGTTTGAAACTATCAATTCCTTGACCGAGTAATTGAATTTCAGAGAAACACAACGAAGCCGTGTTCTCTTCTGTGTATTTTTTCTCGCTCATGGAGTTTATAAATAGAAACTTTGACAATTTCGGATGGGTGTACTAAAGGATACTAGAATCCATGGATCAGTTGGCGACATCTAAATAAAAACTGAAAATGAGCAATTCTTTGTTTTTTAGGCTTTTTGACACTTTATTGGAAAACAGGTGGAAGAAAAAAGGATAACAAAAAGAAGGATAATAGGTAGTCCTTCTTTTCAGACACAGCCTTCCAATGAATAAGTTAGATTGCCCCCAAAATAGGGTTCATGCTCAAGAATGTGCAATTTGAATTGTAGAAAAAAGAAGGAAGCAATTTGAGGCGAGATGTTTTGGAAACTAATTAGAGTCTTCACATTCACTAAAACTGCTGGACAGAAAACAAATGAAGAGATGAAAAAGACACCCGAACTTTTTTTGTTCGTAACATAACATATTCGCACCACTCGCTTCTACATTCTCCGCCTAAAAACGTTTCGAGCCGAAAATTCCGACGGGGTGTACTCTTGAGAATTGGAAATTATTCCTAACACGGAAGGTTTTGATCCGGGAAGAAAATAAGGAAACAACACGGGACAAATAATATGGAGCATCTCGTAGCATTCAAGAAATGTACTTTTTGTTGCAGATAGGATAGGTCAATTTGATTTGGGGACGAAAACAATAGTGGAAAGAGGAAACCATCTCGTTCAGAAAGTGGAGTGCGTGTTTTCATTGGAATTTCGAAAATTGAATTTCGTTCAAGGAAAAAGAAAAAAAACAATCAACTGAAAAAAAGAAAAACGAGAAAAGAGACAAATTCTTTGCTGGCAAATTAGAGGTAATCGCAAGGCAATGAAAGCGTTTTCTTACAAATCTTACAACAACTTTGATACAAAAAGAAAAACAGATGAGCACAAAAAACGGAATGAGAATCCAAATCCGGCGATAAAATAAACAGATAACAAAGACTTCTTGAATAGGAAACATTAAAAAAAAGAGGAAAGAAAACAACAAAGGAAGATTCGGAAAAAAGTTGATTTATAATCTTTGAAGCGTTTTTTTTTGAAGCTAGGGGTATCTGATAAGAATTGGCTTTTTGAAATGTGCGACTTGGGATCTAAAATTTCAAAAAATAGTCAGAAGAAGTATGTTCCATTGAACTTGTCAGATCTGTTTTCACAAAGATCATATTTCGAGATATAGGGAAGTCAAACGGATGAGATGTTCTGGATGGACTTTTGAGAAGTGGAAGAGATAAAAAAGAGATGAATGCATTCAAAATGAAACAAGATGAAGCCTTGAGAGAAAAATTTGAGACCAGAAGTCTAGATTGAACCATTGATTTGGTTTTCGAAAATGAATTGGAGGTTATATTGAAATCAATGTTGTCTGATGTGAAAAGGTAATTGAAAAATTTCATTTTACAAATTACAGTACCCGTCGATAAGATAAAACATCGTGGTATTCAGTTGATTTTTACCACTTTCAGAAGTCTAGAGAATGGCTGTCCAGTTTCCGATTCCTTCGAAAATGTTATATGAAAGAAATACCTATATTAAAATCTCTGAGTTCACAAAATTTTTCGAAACTTCCTAGTTTTTCTGCCAATTTTTGAGAGACGCGAGTTTTTTTTTCACGTTTTCAGTACAATATGGACCAAAAAAGGGTGTATTTCAAAAATCGGAAAATAGCTAAACAGCTACGAATTATCAAAAAATTTGGGAAAGCAAAGTTTGAAGTCTAGGTCTGTTTCACACCGGCCAAAGTTTTAATAGTGATCGGAAACTTGATATAAACTATTCAAGTTCCTAATAGTTGAAAATTTTCAAAATTCCCAATGTTTAAGTATTATGTATCCAGCAATGGAAACGTCAACATTTCGGCATGAAGATCATCATGAAACGCTATGAAACATCCAGAGTTTGAAGTAAAAGTTGAAAATTGTACAAAAAAGATATTCTCGTCATCTCAAATTACGCTACTGACACATATTCCCACCACGAACTATATAGGTTCCCCGCAAATACTCAAAGATTAATGAAAACATCGAAATTCAGTGCATTGCGTGGAAATAATTCACCCACTTCAGTCTCCCACTGCTGTCTTTTCCTTATTTATGAGAAGGTTAAAATACCTGAGGTACCATTGGAAACACACGAAAGTCTCAAAAATAACGGAGGCGTGAAAAATGAGAAAAGTCTGATTCAACAAAAAGTTAAAAACGCTTTTCCTGTTTTGGCACAACTGGTTTGGCTGAAAATGACAACAAAAAACCTAAAATGG